AAAATGGCCATACTGCACTTTTTTAAAAAAAAAGTTGCCAAGGCTAGATAACCCCATAACTTCTGGTTCCCAGTTTGGCATTTTTATTGTACTGTGCACTTACTAAAAGAGGGAACTGAAATATGCTTCATTTTAGAAAGGTTATCTTCTATAAAGAGCAACAGTTAAAACATTATTTTTGTATCTTCTAGTGAATCAAAAACTCATTTAGCCTAAACTTCATTCCTGTCCCAGAATCCTAAGAAAGAAATTTTGCTGTCAGAGAAAGCTTTGCTGTCACAACCTCAGATCAGCACGACCTTGGAACTTTCTGCAGTGATGGAAATGTCTTCCATCTGCACCGTCCAGTGTGGGAGCTACTCTAACAGACTGATTTTTAAATTTTTCTTGATTTTAATTAAATATAGCTACGTGTTGCCAGGCACTACCATTTTGGACAGTGCAGCCTTAGAGTATAGCAGGGGCCAAATGGCAATCCCTGGCCCCTTGATATCAGAATCAGCCAGAGAACTTGCCGAAAGTACAGATTCTGGGCCTAATGCCCAGTGACTCTGATTCAGCAGGTCTGGGATGAGTGCGTTTTAAGAATTCATTTGGTTATTCTATTTGCACTCAGATTGGAAACTTGCATTATGTGAGCTCTTGGAATGAAAGAGGAGAGCCAGAATCAGCCATCAAGTCCTGGCCCTGAGCTTCTAGGGAGACTGGAGCAACCTCCCGGGGAATGGCAGACCCTTGGCAAATGTGTTGAATGCTATGGGCCTATTCTCTGGAAAAAATGCAAATTGCATTTCATTTCTGGGACTCACAGACATCCTTGAACTCAAACTAAGAGCTCCTATTACAGATATGGCCCAGGGTAAATCTGGTACCACCCCAGACATTCCTGCCTCCAGACTTCTGTTGGGGTCATCAAAATATTGCAGAAGGAAATTAGGCCGTGTACATGCATCAGGCCTGAAAGAATGCTGAATGAATACTGCTCCTTTCCTTTCTTCCTTTGTTTTGGGGGCTTGTGGGTGTGGCTATTGCCACTGCTCTGCCCTTTTTTTTTTTTTTTTGGTTGGGGGGAGTACTGGGGATTGAATTCAGAGGCACTCGACCACTGAGCCACATCCCCAGCCCTATTTTGTATTTTATTTAGAGGCAGTTGCTTAGCACCTCAATTTTGCTGAGGCTTGCTTCAAACTCATGATGCTCCTGCCTCAGCCTCCCGGGACGCTGGGATTACAGGTGTGTGCCACTGCGCCCAGCTTGCCCTTTGCTTTTTTTTTTTGGGGGGGGGGGGCTACTGGGGAATGAACTCAGGGGCACTCAACCACTGAGCCACATCCCCAGCCCTGTTTCATATTTTATTTAGAGACAGGGTCTCACTAAGTTGCTTAGCACCTTCCCATTGCTGAGGCTGACTTTGAACTCAAGATCCTCCTGACTCAGCCTCCTAAGCCGCTGTGATTACAATCATGTGCCACATGTTCTGCTGCCCTTTGCTTTTAATGGGATACTGAGAGCAGGGGCTGAAGAACTGGAGATGGGGATGCAGCTGGGAGAGCGCAGTGGAGCAGGATCGCGACTTGCCCTAAAGACCAAGGCGAGGTATAGGGGCTCCCACTTAGTCCTCACTCCCCACATGCTGGAGGAGGAAGAAGGAGCAAAGCTGCAGGGCTGTGAGCTTGGGGAACAAGCCAGTGACCAAAACCCAGGGCTGGGAAGGCCACCTGGCCAGCAGTCCAGGGGTGAATAGAGAACCCTGAGTTTTGTGGACCAGACCATAGAGAAGCTGGGAGGGAGGGAACAAGTCGACGTGTATGTGCAGGAGAGCTGCCATCAGGCCAAAGCTTCTAGAGAACAGCCTCTTGAACTTGGAGGCTGTCTGTGAGGGTCTGAGTCATGGTCATGTGGCATGGGAAAGCCAGCCACAGGAGCAACTTTGCCGCTCCCAGGCCATGATTTTGTGCCCCTGGGAGGTGAGTGACAGCCTGTTCTCCCTGTGCCCTTCACAGGTCCTGATGCTATCTGCTGGGTCAGCTTCTCAATAGCCTCCCTTGTCTCTCTGCCCGCCAGGCTGAGTGAGTCATCAGGACGTGCACAGGAGGCTCTGAGCTTGGCGGCTCGACCTCGGCCTCAACTTCTCCCCAGAGAGAGGAGGGCCTGGCTTGCGCATGGAGGGAGGATCAAGGCTCCTGGCCTGCTGCCCAGCCGGCCGTCAAGATTTATGTGTGGCTCCTGGGACTAAGGGAGTGCCCCATAGCCTCTCTGGAGGAGCTTCAGCTCAGGATGAACTTTCCAGAACACAGGCTATCTGAACCTGAGCACAGCTAGGCCTCTGAACAGCTAGGCGCCCACTCAGCCTCATTTTCCTCTTTCATCAGCTTTGCTATCTTCATTCTTGGTGCTCAGGGTCATCCTGTCTCTGAAGGTCAAGGAGAAGCACTCCTGGTCCTTTGATTCCTTTGTTCAGCCAACAGCAGTTGTCTCCTTAGTACCCCACTGTGCTACGTACTGAGGATGCCACTGTGTGTAGGGGCCCTTCTCCCCTCTGCAATCCCCTGACTAAAGTGATTACATGAGTGCCCCCCTCCTTGTGTTTGCCCATAACCCAAGAGACCTGGGGAATAGGCACAAAATCTAAAGGGCCTAGGGTCTGGGATCTAGTTGGTGAGCTGGGTAACCTCAGGTAAGTCTCTATGTAATGAAGACACAGATTCTGTAATTGAAAACAAGGAGATCAAGTAGCATTGACCTTCCTGTAACTGTAAGCACACCTCTACTACTGTTCGGTTTGGAGGTTTTTTAGTTTGTTCTTTTTTCCCCCCTTTTAAACTTTTTTTTTTTTAGTTTTCGGCAGACACAACATCTTTCTTTGTATGTGGTGCTGAGGATCAAACCCGGGGCGCACGCATGCCAGGCAAGCGCACTACCGCTTGAGCCACATCCCCAGCCCCCCTTTTAAACTTTTTTGTAGTTGTAGATGGACAGCATGTCTTTATTTTCATTTGTTTATTTTTACATGGTGCTAAGGGTCTAACCCAATGCCTCACACCTGCTCTGCAAGCTACAGCCCCGCCCCTTTTAGTTTGTTCTTATGATCACACTTTCCCTGGTAAAGAGGCTGAGAAAGATGAGATCTACTCCACACCTCAGATCAGTTCTTCTCTGGAGGAGGGGGGCTTGGGGCAGTGCATAGGGCAATGAAAGAAATGGTTACAAAAATTAGCCTTCCCTGGAGGCCTTTCACCAATTTGAAAGCCAGAACATCCCTTCGACCTTTTAAGATGGCCAGTCATGGTGAGGTTGCCCATCTGGCCTGCTCAGCACCTGGCCTCAGGAAGCAGGCATCTCTGCTGAAGCTGGAGCTCCTTTGAGTTGAGAGCCAGGCAGCCCTTGAAGGCTGAGATCCAAGGAACAAATTACCAGCTCAACCAACCCGTCCCACCTCCCAGTCCCACCTCCTGGTCCAGTGCTATCTTACATAGTAATCGGTGGGAAAAGATAAGTGAGGCAGATTCCTCGAAGCCTGGCCTGGTGTTCTTCAGCTTCCCGCAATCTTGTTACAACCTTTGGGCCTGATGGAGCAGAAGGCTAGAGAGTTAGTTTTGTCTACCTGTGGCTTGCCTTTCTTCCTCAAGAACAAACAAAGGCATTTACCTGATTTAATGGCATTATAGCAGAGAAGACTACACCTGTTAGTGATAGCTTTAAGACTGATCTGTGATCGGAAGGCAATTATTAAAAACCTGTCCGCATTTGGTTCCTTCTTAGGCTTTGTCTAAAGCAAGGACACACCCCAGCAGGGCCCTGCCTTTAAAAAGTCCCTGTCTTTAAAGAGGTTTCCAAATGCTAACAATCTCAAACTGCCCCGTCCCCTTTCATGATAATTGTGGTCTCTGTGCTGTTTATATGGATGGTCAGCAGCATGGGGCTGCTCTCCCCTGCAGCTTCCTTGGGAAGGCTCAGGGCTAGTGAAGAGGATCCCGAGACAGATAGATTCCTCTTGCTTTGACCTCAGATTTCTAGAAGTATTGGTTGGTGTTGGGTTTCCAATATAAATGCCACTACTAACACTGCCTAAAAGAAAAATGATATCTAGAAATTTTCAGCGAGTGAGTCTGAACAGTAGAGGAAAAAGCATGTCAGTCCCTTCTGGAGAACACACACATATGCATCTTGGGAAAGGAGCCACGTGCTGAGCACCATTGCAGGTTGAGTATTAGACTTTGTAAGATATATATACACATATATACTGTATATATGTATGTATTATGTATGAATATATTTTTATACATTCATGTGCTGTGTATCAACATTTTGATCAATATTGGGTCAGATAATATAACAATAGCCCCATTAAATAATATTGTCTAGTGACTCATAGCCATTATAGTGGTGTATGTACATTCTATGCCGTTCACACAATGGTTAAGCTACCTAAGGATGTGTTTTTCAGGACATACTCCCATCATTAAGTGATGCAAGGCTATGCATATATCTACCTCTTTCGAGGGGACAACACAGTACCTTGATTCTGTCCACTTTTTTTCTGGAGGAAAGGCACTGTGGGCTGCATAGACATGTCCTCTGTGAAGGCAAGGCTTCTGTGGGGACGAAGAAGTGACGGTTTGGAGGTTGGGAATCACTGCCTGTCCTGGGGAAAGAGTTTGCCAAACAACAGACCATTCGTTATTGAAAGACAAGAAGCATCCAGGCCTGATGTTTATATTGTTGCTGTCCCAGGGGGAACAGGCTGGAATCCTCCCTGTTGGCCTGGCGCAGGAGCAATTTATGTCAGGGTACCTCTGGGGTCAGGATCACACACTTGGAACGTGTAGATGAGAAGGTTGACTCCTTGGCCATTTGCGATGTTTGAAGGTTGTGTACATGGCATGAAGAAGCAGAGACCATTTGTCCCCTGCGTCTTTCCTGACCCCTGAGCCTGCCTTACACCCACCCCACTAGGGCCTGAGCTTAGGAGTGACCTGCTCTGTGTTGGTTCTCCTCAGGGTGAGAGTGAGCCTGGGAGATGGCAGTGATGGAAGTGGCCTGCCCAGGCGCCCCTGGCTCAGCCATCGGGCAGCAGAAGGAGCTGGCCAAGGCCAAGGAGAAGACGCAGTCACTGGGAAAGAAGCAGAGCTGCGTCTACAAGCTGGAGGCTGTGGAGAAGAGCCCAGTGTTCTGCGGGAAGTGGGACATCCTGAACGACGTGATTACCAAAGGCACAGCTAAGGAAGGCTCTGAGGGCGGCCCAGCCGCCATCTCCATCATCGCTCAGGCTGAATGTGAGGGCCTGGATTGCAGTGGGCATGGGGCACAGGGGCGGGCTTGCAGGTGGGTGGCTGACCACGAATAAAGGCCAACCTCAAGGCCCCCTATGAGAGAGCAAGATTAGGGTGACCACTTCATAAAATTCTCACAAGACACATTGGGAGTCCAATCCCCAAATCAATATGAACTGGGAACGATAAAAGTGCCCGGATGGAACACTGAGCTGGGGCATAGGCTGTGTCCATCGTTGTAACCAGAGCAGAGGAAGAAAGCCCAGAGGAAAGAGCACTAGGGGCTCCTTGAAGGATCCTCAAGCAGGCCACTAACCTCTGCTGTGATCTGGAGCAGCCCAGGTGTTTGGAGAAGCCCAGACAGGAAAAGCCGGGTTTCCTGGAAAGCCCCACCAGGGCTTCAAGCCCTTCACCACTTTCCATCAGAGTGGCCCCACCCCAGAGAATGAGCACCCTTCTCTTGGGTCTGCTGGACCAGTCTAGGGGCAGTCAGCCACTGCAGGGTAAGGCCAGCGTGGCCCTTTCTGTTTCTAGCCCAGATGCCTTGGGCTGACTAGTAATGGCAGCTACCACAGAGGCAGAAACTCCAGGAGGGCTCGGGCGAGCCAGGATCCCCCTCCTACTGTGTCACCTCACCTTCAACCCAGGAGCCGGACAGCTGCTGGTGGCGTTTCCCCACATAGACATAGCCATTGTCTCCCACTGCCTTCTGGTTGGTTTTTGAGGTGAAAGAATATAAATTAGTGAAGACACACATATATACATAAACATGAATGTATAATAGCTTATATTTGTTGAGCCACCACCGTGTGCCAAGCACTGTTTGGAGTGTTCGGGTGGCCTGTCTCACTGAAGCTTCACAGTCAGTGTAGTGAGGTGGGCACCGTACAGCCCCCATCTTGTAGATGTCCCCTCTGCTCTTGACCAATAAAGGGAGAGAAGGAGGCTTGTCTGGGAGATGAGCCGGTTGAGCTGGGAGGGGAAGGAGGAGCCCAAGTGGGACTGTCTCTAAAATCTCTCTCCTAAGTGCTGAATTCCTGATCTTTCTCTTCTTTCTGCTAATCCAACCCTTTTTCCTTGACTTAAAAGGTGAAAATAGCCAAGAGTTCAGCCCCACCTTCTCAGAACGAATCTTCATCGCGGGGTCAAAGCAGTACAGGTAAGAAAGCATGCTGGCACAGGAAGGGGACACTGCTAGGTGTCCACCTCCCTGAACGCCTGCCCTGGCTGCTCCCCACCACCCCTGGCTCCCTGCTCAGCACCTGGGCTCAGCCCCTGGCAGCCGCCCAGCTTTCCCAGCCGAGCCACGCTGTCAGCCAAGCAAGCTTTGCAGAAGCTCCCCACAGCTCACGGAGGACTCCTGGCTCCCATCAGCTTGACATTTTATTTTTATTCTCTTCTGAGTCCTGAGGCACCCCTGGTTTCCCATCAATAGGAGGATGCCGGGAACAGCAGTTACTTCCAGCTGGTGTGCAGCCATGAGCACAGGCCCAGAGAGGCCACCCTTACTGTCCTCCGAGAAAACACCTGAGATGGCTTACTCCTGTGTGACACACCAAGTAGGCATAAGGCTTATGAAAATAGTAAGGGACACAGATTTTTTTTTTTAAGTAATAATTTGAGCCTCTGAATTTTTGTTTGTTGTTGTTGTTGTTTTAGTTGACAGTAGATCTTTATTGTATTTATTTGTATGTGGTGCTGAGATCAAACCCAGTGCCTCACGCATGCTATGCAAGCTCTACCACTGAGCCACAGCCCTAGCCCAGGTCACAGATTTGAGCCATTCGATGGCCCTATGGAAGGAAGCCAGGGCCAGGCTCTCTCTGTCCCCAGATTCCCCATTCCCTCAAAGGTGAATTGTAGCAACTGAGAGTTCAACCTAGAAACAGTTCCCTCCTCCCCACCTGGCAGACTTTTTGTCATCTGTAGTGGGAAACTGCTAAAGATGAAAAGGCCAGGGGGACTTGGTTGTTGCTCAGGAACCAAGAAATGCCTGTCCAGGTCAGGCTTGGTGGCGCATCTGTAGTCCCAGCACTCTGGAGGCTAAGGTGGGAGGATCCCTTGAGCCCAGGTGTTTGAGACCAGCCCGGGCAACATAAAGAAGTCCCAACTCAAAAATTAAAGAAAAAAGAAATAGGGGCTGGGATCGTGGCTCAGTGGTAGAGCACTCATCTAATATGTGTGAGGCACTGGTTCAATCCTCAGCACCACATAAAAATAAATAAATAAACGTCCAACTACAACTAAAACATATATATTAAAAAAAAAGAAAAGAAAAAGAAATGCTCAATGCTTGGTCAAATTGCTTACATTGCCTCCGACTACATTTGGCCCAGAGAAGGGGGATTCTAATGAACCCACTTCTGTCAGCTGCCTGAGAGAAGCCCACAGGCCTCCAGCCACCTTTGTGAGGACAGTAGACCACATACACAATAATGGTCCCGTAAGATTATATCACCTAGTGACTTCATAGCTGTCTTAGTTCCTGTAAGTTCAATGTTACATTTGCACAATGAAATCACAGAATACAACATTTCTTGGACTGTCCCCCTTTTGTTAAGTGATGCATGACTGTAATGAGAAAGCTGGGATTTGTGCTCAAGTCTGTCTCTCCCTGTTATCTGAACCATTCCATCTTCCTGCTTTCTTGTACTCAAACTGTGGATCTGTCCCTTTTTTGACAGCCATCCTGAGAGTCTTGATCAAATCCCCAACAATGTGGCCCATGCAACCGAGGGCAAAATGGCCCGTGTGTGTTGGAAGGGAAAGCGTCACAGCAAAGCCCGGAAGAAACGGAAGAAGAAGAGCTCCAAGGCAGGAGTGTCCTTGGCCAAACCCTTGCCCAGAACCCCTGAGCAGGAGAGCTGCACAGTTCCAGTGCAGGTGAGGCCCACAGCCCCCGCCCAGGCCCCAGCTCACGAGGCCTTCGGAATGGAGCCTGTGCCCTGATCCTGGCCCTGTGTCCTAACACCTATTTCCCCACAGGAGGACGAGTCTCCACTAGGTGCCCTGTATGTCAGAAATGCCCCCCAGTTCACCAAGCCTTTGAAGGAACCAGGCCTTGACCACCTCAGCTTTAAGAAACTCGGAGAGGATCTACGGCCAGTACTGCCTCGACCGGAACTCCACAAACTCATCAGCCCCTTGCAATGTCTAAACCACGTGTGGAAACTCCACCACCCACAGGACATGGTCCCTCTGCCCCATTCCACTCACCCCTTTCCCTACAGCAGATTGCCCCATCCCTTCCCGTTCCACCCTCTCCAGCCCTGGAAACCCCACCCACTGGAATCCTTCTTCCTGGGCAAACTAGCCAGTGTAGATGACCAGAAGCCCCTTCCCGGCCCACACCTAAGCAAACTGACCTGCATAGACGGTCAGAAACCTCTGCCTGGCCCACACCTGGAGCCCAGCTTCCCGGTTCAGAGCTCCCGTGAGAAGTTCGTGGAAGAGTACCTGGTGCATGCTCTCCAAGGCAGCGTGAGCTCAGGCCAGGCCCACAGCTTGGCCAGCCTGGCCAAAACATGGTCAGCCGGGGGCTCCAGGGCCCAGAGGCCCAGCCCTGAAACCGAGGACAATGAAGGCGTACTGCTTACTGAGGTAACTACTCCCTTCGAGTCCTTTACGCATACCTTCACCACTAACTCTCAGGCCAAGAGCCACAGCTGGGGTCAGGTGGTGCCTACTATGGGAACAGAGCAGACCTTAGGAGATGGTTCTCTCCCTGTCAGAGTCACTCATGCTCATGGTAACAAAGCAATTAGTAGCAAAGTACTTGGGGATTATATTAGTCAGCTCCCCATTACTGTGACAAAATGCCTGAAATAATCAGTTTCAAAGGAAGAATGGTTTATTTTGCTTCATAGTCTCAGAGGTTTCAGTCCATGGTCACTTGATCCTGTTGCTTTGGTGGTTCAGCAGGAGTGCCTGGCGAGAGGCCTGTTCACCTCCTGGTGGCTCGGAAGCAAAGAGTATCCCCTTCAAGGACACCTTCACCCAAATGACCTAACTTCCTCCCACTAAGTCCCACCTCTTGAAGGTTCCACCATCTCCCAATAGTTTGGTGATCAAGCCTCCAACACATGGGTTTTGAGGGGACATGTAAGATATAAACCATAGCAGTCATATTTCTTTCCACCTGCAGCCTCACTTTCCACAGCCTTTCTAGCTGATTCTATTTTTTGTTCTCATTATCTTCCTCATTAACACTGAATTGTGCTTATTGTATGAATGATACACATACTGGAAAATAGGAATACACACAGAGCAGCTCGAGACTATTTCATAACCTGATAGGAAAGATGAGGACTTTGCCATCACCATTACCCTTTCCTTCCTTTTTCCTCTAGTTCTTTCCCCAAATACCTTCAGAACTGTAAATGATTGATCTTAACGTTACTTTGGGGTTACATTTACTTCACATGATCCCTTTAGCCCTGCCCTTTTTCATTGTTCCTCTCTTTCTTCTTCCTTCTGGCTCCTGAGTTACATTGTTTTCATGGTCAAGGTTGTTGCCATTCTGTGTCTGTCCCTCCATCACAAGCCCGAGAGGTCTTCCTCACAAGAACCTCCTGGCCCCAGGCAGCTGGTGCACTTACCTTTGCCTTCTCCTTGTTTCTTTAAGCCCCATCGCTTCCTGTTCTGTGGTCCCCCTCAGAGCCTGCCTTGACCCAGCGGTGTCTTTGGAGGCACCAGCAGCCCTGGCAATGGCCCACAGCTGGAGAGCCTTCCCCACTGTAGCCCCTTATTCCCTCTGCTGTCCTGACCACTGAAACTGGCCTCTCTCTCTTGCTAACTCTAGAAGCTCAAGCCAGTGGATTATGAGTACCGAGAAGAAGCCCACTGGGCCACGCGCCAGCCCCGCCTAGGCAGAGGCTCCTTCGGAGAGGTCCACAGGATGAAGGACAAGCAGACAGGCTTCCAGTGTGCTGTCAAAAAGGTATGCCAAAAAGGTACATCAAGGTTCTGGGGGCTACAGGGGAGCCAGGCAAGGGCTGCTGCCATCCACATTCTGTCTTTCAAGGACAGCCACAGGGTTGCCGTGGCTTTGACTTGATAACAACCTGGCCATCGCTAGCTGCCCTCGGTCAGCTGGAACTGGAAGGGAGCAATGTGTCACATGGCCTGGGCTGGTCACTGCCCTCGGTATGCATGCCTGTGAGAAGCAATGTGAGAGCACATGGCTTCAAGGTCTGAATACAGCCAGGGCCACTGGTGACACCAGGGCCTGTAGGGGCAAGTCCAAACCTGGAAGGTGGTCGGATCCTCATGAAATCCATGCTGAGCTAAAACCTGCAGGCCACCCGGTGGGGCTACTGTACACTTTGGACCGGAAGGTAATTAGAACAGTAGCCTCCACCTGTCAGGTACCCCCTGGAAAGTGGCAGACACAGGGAGTTACACACGGGTCTGCTCCAGGTTCAAGCCATGCCACCTGCTGGCCAGGTGCAGCACAGATGGCCATCACAGGGGAACACGACTCAGCAAGAGATGGAGGAGATGGCTTAATGCAGCAGAATTGGGGTTCAGACCCAGAGCCATGGTGTGGCTCTGTGCCGCTGTTCAGGAAGAGAGGAAGGAGGGAAGACTCGTGGTCCTGGGGTCTTGATTAGCAGCAGAAGGTGGAGTCACCTCTCCTACCCCTCATCTCCCCAGTGACTTGCCCAGCTGGGCCTAAAGCCCAGGCCCAGGTGACAATCAGCAGCAGCTGCAGATCCACAGACATAGAGGGTGTTGGCCCTGCTCCCCACAGCACTGTTCTCCCTCCCAACTTGGAGCTCCCCTCAATCGGAAACCATCTTGTTCGCAGCCCAAACTCCAAACCCCAGGGTGAACCATTTTCTTGGCCCATGGGGCAAGGTAAATAAGCTCAGAAATGGATTGGTTTCAAGTGGCTTATGTCAAAGACTCTGATCCCCAAAAGGAAATGGACCAAGGTGCCAGACCCAACAGGCCCCACATACTCAGGTCCTGTGCAGGGTGAACCCCACCACTCCTGTCCTGACTGCCTGTGACTTCAAGGGCTGAGGCTCTAGCTGGGCGGTGAATGACCGTGGGCCAGGCTGTTGGAGTTCTTGAGTGTGATCCTCAGGGTGGTGGGATGAGAGAGGGGTCAGTCTGTCCATTTTACCCCAGACTTCACATACACCGTGTCGGATAAGCAAGCACCTCCCTGCCCCCCCACCACTGGCAGAAGCACATGCTGAGCTCTTGCCAGCACGGATCATCTTCCACTTGGATGCCAGGGCCACGTGCCTGACCTCCTCAGCTGCAGTTCCCTTCCCCAGGCCACCGGAGAAGGCTCAGCTGTCCCTCCTGAGAGGCCGTGGGAGGAGGGTGAGAAAGTGTGAAGTGTCCTAGAGACGAGCACCCAGTGCTGGGAGCTTAGTCACTGGGTTCTCAGCTGTTCCTCTGCTGAGGTCCTCAGAGTCCCAGGCAACAGGGTAAACAACCCTGATGAGGTGGAAGAGGACAGTACTCCATTTCTCATCCCCTGTGCCCAGGCAGTGGGGAATGATCCAAGCATAAGACCTGGACTTCCAGCACCAGAGGTGGCCATGCTGAGGACTCCACCTCCCCCCACCCAGGAGCCCCAGCAGGGATGGTTGTTGTCCTTCTACCCAGCCGCTGTTGCTTGGGCAGGCAGTGGTGTCCCTTCCGTGGGGTGTAGCTCAGTGGTAGAGCACTTGCCTAGCAAGCATGAGGCCCCAGGTTCTATCCCTAGTTCCACCCACACACCACAAAAAAAGTTCTTGATGATGGGGACGGGACAGGGGAAGCAGGTAAATGATCAGAAGTTAGACTGTGCCTGGGGTAAGAGCAAGTCCGTGCTCCTTTGATGCTCCTAGGGAGGATTCAGGATGTGTGATGTCACATGGTAACACCAGCATTCCCTTGGTCTTAAGAATATCTTTGGCCTTAGGTCGCATGATGATTGACCACAAGTCTAGGGTTTAATGCAGGTTTTGGGTTGTTTTTTTTAATAAAGTTTTCTTTGGTCTTTGCTATTTATTTATTTATTTTTGGTACCAGGGATTAAACCCAGGAGTGCTCAACCACTGAGCCACATCCCTAGCCTTTTTTTTTTTTTTTTTAATTTTGAGACAGGGTCTTGCTAAGTTTCTGAGGGCCTCACTAAATTGCTAAGGCTGCCTTTGAATTTGCGATCCTCCTGCCTCAGCCTCCCATGTCACTGAGATTACAAGCATTCACCACCATGCCCAGCTGATCTTTATTTTAATTTCAAACAGATACAGGCTTATTATAAAATCATTAATGAATGCCAAAAAAAGAAAAGTCTTCTTGTTCCCCAGTCCTGTTCACCGAGATAAATGCCACTTGACATAAATTTTTTTAGACTTTTTATGCATATATAAGTATGAAGTTATTTTTTTATAAAAATGATATCCTACTCTCTAAATTATTCTGTACCATGATTTTTTTCATGTAATACATATATGGACAGAGTTCCTTGTTGGCTCCTGTACAGCTCTTGTGTTTTGTTATGTTGTTTTGTTTTCGTTTTGTTGTTTTGGTTCCAGGGGTTGAACTCAGGAGTGCTTAACCACTAAACCACATCCCCATCCCTTTTCTTTTTTTTAAACTTCATTTTATTTGTTTTTATTTTTATGTGGTCCCAGGGAACAAACCCAGTGCCTCACACGTGCTAGGTAAGCACTCTACCACCGAGCCACAACTCCGGGCCTCCCTTTTCATTTTTTATTTTGAGACAAGGTCTCACTAAGTTGCTTAGAGCCTCTCTAAATTGCTGAGGCTGGTTTTGAATTTGCCATCCTCCTGCCTCAGCCTCCTGAGCTGCTGGGATTGTATGCACCCACATTCTTTGTGTTTTTTAACGCCAACATATAAATTCTTATCACAGTCAGTGAATGGATTCAGAGGATTCCTGAATTCCTGAAATATGATTCAAAAATGTGTGTGTTGATGTGTGGGCACACACACACTTTTAAATGGAGAAGGGTCCATATCTTTTATCAGATTCTCAAACAGGTCTGTGGGCCAAATAGGGTTAAGAACCTTTTGTTTTAGGACATCTGGCTCAAGTATGGCATTCTGGGAGCCTCCCTTTGGCTCTGCCACTGATCTGGGATAGTGTGGCCTTGGCCAAGTCAAACCAGCTGTCACCAAGCACCTGCTTTGTGCCAGACACTGTACAGGGACTGGGGAAAGAGCTGTGGAATCCACAGGCCTGACCTGAAGGAACTTGAGTTATAACCTCGGATAGGCTTTTACATGGCATGGCGGTGACGCAGCCAGCCCCAGACACGTGTTTAGAATGAAAACAACAAAGATGAAGGGGAGACTGTTTTGATAGTGATGAGGAAATGGGGACCACCTAGTATTTCCTGGACATCTATGTTCCCAGTCCTATATTAGTCACTTTCCTATGTTTATATTGCTAGAATCTTCTAAAGAACTTGTAGAGTTGCTTATGCCTCTTTCTTTACTGATAGAATAAAACAGATAAGAATACAAAGAACACAAAAGGAGAGAGTTTCAAGGAGGAAAAGTGGTCTGTGTCAGGTAAGGTCTCTGAAGTGAGGGGAGTGGCTTCTGAATGTGACAGAAGGCTGATGGCAGTCCACGCTTCCCCCTGGGGACGCTCGCTCCTGAATGAATGTAGAAACCTCCAGGATTAAAGGCTAAGCCCAGAATGTTCTTCAAGAGGTAGAGCAGCTGGCATCTGGTGTCAGACTTCCCTGACCAAAGTTCTGGCTGTGGTACTCTCTTCCCAGTGACCTTGGACAAGTCACTTGTCCAGGTTTCAGCTTCCTTGTCTGTGAAATGGCAGTGGTGACAGCACCTTAAACCGTGCCTGGCTTACGCCAGTGGGCATTAAACGCTAGTCCTCATTCACATCCTCCTCACACCCGGCCCCCTTTATTTGGGCATGAGGACCCTGAAGTCCAGAGAAGAGAGGTGCGCCAGATGGGCAGCTGGCCTGAGCCAGAGGCTGGGGTGCTTTCTCCACCGATCCCCTGAGGACAGCTCTTTCTCCTTGCTTCCTTGGGTTCACCTAGACTTGTGAAGCGCCTTGTTTTTGTGGCTTCCATCTGACCCACTTTGGTCTAGGTGATGGAAATGTCTAAATGTCTTAGTATTACTGGGACACTTAGAGGACATAGGTATTTCTTAGAAGTGAAGCCAAAGTTTCCCACACTATCTTGATTCACAACCCTTAATATCTCAGACAATTTTTCATGGCACCCCAAGCCAAAACAAATACCTAACCATTCATTTAATAGATAGTTAGGTTAAATAATAAATCTATCATAAAACTTAGCAACCATTTGAAAAGCGAGACATGTAAGTTGAAAGAAAAAAAAAATCTCCTTTCCTTCTTAAAATTACTAACGGGACTTAGGCCTTGTTGGCCACTGCATGGCTTCTTGAACATTGAAATCAGATTGGATAGCACCACCTTCATTTCCTGTTCCACATCCCACAAAGTACTTTTTATCACAGCAACCTCCAAAATCCTAGCTTCTTAAAGACATATCATCAAAAAGAATGCAGCCAGCTGAGGAGAGCTCCGTGGTAAAGCATTTGCCTGGCACACGTGAAGCCCTGGGTTTGATCTTCGGGACCATTAAAAAAAAAAAGAATTCAGCATGATCTAATGTTGGAACTGACCTATCTCTAAAAGTAGTTCACACCATCTCCTGAAGATGTTGAGCATCCCCATTTACTTCAAATACAATATCCCATAGCACCTTTTTGAATTCCCAGTGGTGCCCTGGGGTGCTTCACTTCACAGTTGGGGGTGGTGGGGGCACAGTGATAAGGTTAAAGACATTTACTGGTGCAAATCCTGCTGCTGAATTAGTTCTAGTCAGTTTCAGTGACCTTTTAGGGCTGGAAATACTAACAAAAGTCAAAGTTCATGTAAGTTGGTTAACTGAACCAGATAATTCTTTGACCAGGTGAGAAAGATTTCCCACGGATAGGCAAAAAGTCCAACAGTCCCACGTCAACAGAGCTCCTGTTGGTGGAGTCAGCAAATCCTCAAACAAAACCCTAACACATCTTTTCCAGCTGGTTCTGTGACCACTGGCGCCCCCTGGCGATGCCACTCCAGGCTTACAGGAGAACCAGTGGCAGCAGCAAGAACTCTATGCAGAAATCTGAGCGTTTAACAAGCTGCTGTTTGAGTTGGTGGGAGGAAGTAAAGAGCTAGCCCTTCCAAATTCTCATTCTAACTGAGGTAGATAACACTGTCCCCACCATGGTAGCATGGTTGATGGGAAGTGTGCAGCACTCTTAAATGGCTGAGCCAGGATCTAAGACCAAGATGTCTGTTCACAAGGCCTATTTCCTCCTGCCATTGCCAAGCTGCAGGTCCCTGCAAAAAGTAGTGGACATTCTCAGTCCTGTTAGTCACAGCAGGAGTGGCCCTGGCCAAAACCTTCCCTAGAAGCCTCATCAGAACCCAAGCTAGGAAGAACTGAAAATAGAGTAAATATAAACACAGGCCTGTCTATGTAGACATTTTAGTTCTCTGAGGAAAAAGAAATAATTACAAGAAGAGTAAAGAAATGTGCTGGGAGGGGTGCTGAGGGCCCAGAGACAGGAGACAGAAAGGTGGGAAGCTTCCGTCTAAAGGGGAGACTCAGATGTTGACAAACAGAAGGACCCATGTCCTAGAATATTGCCCAGACAGTTGGGCTGGGGGCAAAGAATGTTCTGGGTTTGGCACATTGAGGGTAGGCAGCATGCCAGGAGCCTGGATAAGGACTGTGGTTTGTGTGACTGTTTTCTCACACCGTCAGCACTGCCGAACTTTAAGTATGAGCACTTGTCCCTGACGCCAAGGATACACAGTACAATTTAGTCCCTGAGAACCCAGCAGACCCATCCGGCCCATCTGGCCTGGGCATCATCATTGGAAGCATCAGCAACATCTGCATGTGGAGGACCAAGAGTCCCCATGGGATGCCAGCAACCAGCTGGCCCCTCTCCCTTGACACAAGCCTCCACTGGGTCCTTTCAGGTGCGGGTCGAGGTGTTTCGGGCAGAGGAACTGATGGCATGTGCAGGATTGACCTCACCCAGAATCGTCCCTTTGTATGGTGCTGTAAGGGAAGGTCCTTGGGTCAATATCTTCATGGAGCTGTTGGAAGGTAAGGAGCCAGGGCCCAATCCTTCTCCCTCACAAGTCAAGGGCAAGAATTTCCCCAAGTCGGCCAGGCACAGCGGCACACGCCTGTAATCCCAGCAGCATGGGAGACTGAGGAAGGAGGACACAGGTTCAAAGCCAGCCTCAGCAATGGTGAGGCACTAAGCAACTCAGTGAGACCCTGTCTCTAAATAAAATACAAAAAAGGGCTGGGGATGTGCGAGTGCCCCTGGGTTCAATCCCTGATACCCCCCAAAAAAATAAAAAGTTTCCCCAAGTGCTTCCCAGATTGACGGTGGTCTCTAGTCAGTCCACATATAACCTCTTGGCCCTATAATGTCTGCAGGAAAGGCCTGCTTTGCCACTACCTGCCCTTCAACCTTGTTCTTGGCTGTGTGGAGGCCTGGGAAAGCCCCAAGTAAAGACTGGCTGTTGGTCTTCTAGGTGGCTCACTGGGCCAGCTCATAAAGCAGAAGGGCTGTCTGCCAGAGGACCGGGCCCTTTACTACCTGGGCCAGGCCCTGGAGGGGCTGGAATACCTCCATTCACGGCGGATTCTGCATGGAGATATCAAAGGTGAGGCTCCCACCCCCACAGCCTGGTCCCACAGGCTCTTGCCCCGTGCCTGCCTGGCTTCCTCCCAGTTCTTCTGGGCCTGCCTGGTCACCTCCAGTGACAGGGTCTGAGTCAGGCTGACAGGACTATGCCTTATGGGAAGAGAATGTTTTTTCCACACCCTACACCTGGCACTCTGGTTACCAGTGGGTGGTATCTACCGAACTGGAAACCAAGCTTCGACCTACTGGTGACCCCTGGGAGAGGGTAGGGCAGCAGAGTGGAGTGGCAGGGTCCCCAAAAGTAGCCCCTGCTCCTGTCTCCTCAGGCTCAGATCCTGCCTGCTGCCTGCCTCTAGCCTACACTTACACCCCCTCCCTTCCTCCATATCTAATGAAACAAATCTGAGGCAGCAGCTGCCATGTAGGGTAGGCCAGAAAATTACTTCACTGGAGACCAGGCCAGCTGAGCCCTGGTGGGCTGGGACCCGTCACGACTTAACTGTTCTCTTCTTCCCTGTGCTGGTGCTGGCCTTCAGCTGACAACGTGCTTCTGTCCACTGATGGGAGCCATGCGGCCCTCTGTGACTTTGGCCATGCCGTGTGCCTGCAACCTGATGGCCTGGGGAAGTCCTTGCTCACAGGTAAGTCCCCAGAGCGCCCCTCCCCATGATGACAATAGCCAATGCCCTTTACTAGGCATTAGCCAGGTGCCTTGTTGCTTCCACAGTGGGAATGAGTGATGTGAGCACTTTATGTTCCCCAAAAGATTTGAGCCCCACAGCCACCCTGGGTTATTACAAGGCTCTTGTTATGTGTAAATGCAGTAATGGATGTCAAGCACTCAGTTCTGATGCTCCAGTGAAGAGAGCAGGAAGGTGGAAAACTCCGACACAGGTCCCAGGCTTCACAGATGGTGATTTTTCTTTTTTTTTTTTTTTTTTTTTGAGACTAGGTCTTGCTAAGTTGCTGAGGACCTCACTAAGTTGCTGAGGCTGGCTTTAAATGTGTGATCCTTCTGCCTCAGCCTCTTCCAGAGCCTCTGGAATTACAGATATGTGCCACCATGCTCAGCTAAAATGTCTATTTTTGACCTCCATTTCTCTGATTATTAAAATAACCCATGCCTATTGTAAAATACTTGGCAAGAATGGAGTTAAGTGGTATTAAAGAGGAAGGGAAAATAATTCATGCTATTCTTGATCAGAGAGATAATTGTGAATTTTTTTTTCTTTTTCATTTTACTAACATTTGAGGAGCATCATAGCAGCAATTAATCCTCTATTACTGAATTTTCAATGCCCAGCCCCCTCCCCATTTTAAGGGTTCAGTCTGGAGGGCAGAGCCGTGCTGTGGATGACAGATTGCTCTGCACCCCAGCAGAGTCCCAAGCTGAGCAGGTTTGCCTTTGAGGCTTTATTTATTTAAAGTACTTCAACTGAGACGAATTCAAGGAACTCCTGGAATTAACTAGAATGGGAAATGCTGAAGTTCTTGCCCACCCGAGGTCTCAGGTGATATTTCTGTCTTTCCCTGGCCTTCTCAGGGGACTACATCCCTGGCACAGAGACCCACATGGCCCCAGAGGTGGTGATGGGCAAGCCCTGTGATGCCAAGGTGGACATCTGGAGCAGCTGCTGCATGATGCTGCACATGCTCAACGGCTGCCACCCCTGGACTCAGTACTTCCGAGGGCCGCTCTGCCTCAAGGTCAGTGGTAGTGGTGGCTCCAGGACAGCCAGCAGGGGAGGCAGCAGGGCCACAGGCCTGAGCTGAAGGCTTGAGGGGGCCTCCCATTTTGGCTGCTGCGTGACAGATGTGAGCAGGAAGAGGCTTTGCCATAAATGTGAGATTCTGGGGCTGGGGATGTGGCTCAAGTGGTAGCATGCTCGCCTGGCATGCGTGCGGCCCGGGTTCGATCCTCAGCACCACATACAAACAAAGATGTTGTGTCTGCCGAAAACTAAAATAAATAAATATTTAAAAAAAAATAAAAAAATAAATGTGAGATTCTAATTAAAAGACCTGTCACCCAAATCTGGGGGTTCCAGAAGAAGTCCCAGCTGAGGGAGTCTCATAGTTCATGGCAAGTCAGAGCTCTCTTTTGCCCACACACTGGGCCACCTCCGCCTGCCTCCTGACAGGGCATCTTGCTGCCTGGCTCTGGCTCATCCCACCCGGCTTCTTGTTTCCCTTTTCTAGGAAGAGTCCAGCCCTGGCTCTGCCCCAGATCTCTCCATTCCTTGTGGCAGACCCCAGAGCAGCATGGGGGCGAGGGATATGGCAGAGAGCAAGCACAGAAGGCTGGATAGGGAACGAGGGGGAGGCAGGCCTCATATGTTGTCTTTTGACCCCCAGATTGCCAACGAGCCTCCACCTGTGAGAGAGATCCCTCCCTCCTGCTCCCCTCTCACGGCCCAGGCCATCCAAGAAGGGCTGAGGAAGGAACCTGTCCACCGAGCGTCAGCGACAGAGCTGCGGGGCAAGGTTGGCCGGGCACTGCAGCAAGGTAAGAGCTGGCAGGGCACAGAGCAGTGGGCCATGAGAGGGACGGGGCAGGGGTGGTCAGCACTGGGGTCCTCAGCCTCTGGGATCCTCAGTCTCACCGCCATCTGGAGCAGAGGATGACACCAGCCTTGTGGGTGCTGGGAAGATTGCGGTGCTATCTTAGTGAGGGCAGTGCTCAAGAAGTGGGAGAAAGGGGCTACCACGCAGAAAAGTGGGTCGAACTGGTTAGGGATCAGAGAGCGTGAGCTGAAGCCACGCACCACTTAACAGCCATCCTGAAAATTGAGAGTACCAAGTACTCTGGGCTGGGGTACAGCAGGAGCCCTGGGCACTGCTGGAGGCTGTGTTGGCGAGGCTGCAGGCTCAATGGAAGGCACCTGGCAGCCGTCCAAAGTCAATGGATCTGGGAGCTGTCCCCTCCACTCCTGGGTGCACTGTCAAAGGAATTTCCACCCATTCTGCAGCCTCATTTTGGGAGGAGAGTTGGGTCTCTCACCTGGAGAGTGGAGTGGCAAAGGATGGGGGATGGGGCAGCACTCAGTGCCAAAAGCCACTCCATGATCGCAGAGTGGGGACTGAGCTGAAAGCCAGAGTGCTGAGTGAAAAGAGGAACCGACAGGAGACCTGGGGCATACATCTTTATTGTATATGAAAAATCAACAAATGAGCTGGGCGCTCCCAAAATCCCAGCTCCTGGGGAGACTTAGGTATGAAGGATCACAAGTTCAAGAAAAACCTGAGCAATCAAGTCCCCGTCTCAAAATAAAATATAAAGGGTTGGGAGGGTAGCTCCATGGTAGAGCATTGCCCAGCATATGTGATAACCTGGGTTCAGCCCCCAGTACTAGAAAAAAGGAAGAAAAAGAAAAAAGCAGCAAGTGAAAATGACATATTTTGCAAGAACACAACCAAATCAAAAGGAACACAACAATGTGGAGAGAGGAAAGGCAGTGGCTATAGAAATGAAAGGGGAATAAACACAACAAAGACTTTTCACAGCCTGTCACCAAAATCAAGTGGTATTTACAATTATAAGGATGCCCCAGGGAACTGCCCCCACACCAGAGAAATGGCGCCCTGGGGAAGCACCAGTCTAGGGCTGGGACGAGAGAGTCAGTGGGTGGCTCTTTACCTGGGAACTCTGGGTCGGTGTTGTCGCAGAGCTGTTTTTTGTGTTTGCGGTGGTGGAGATGGAACCCAGGGTTTCACTCCTGCTAGGCAAGTGCTTTACCTCAGAGCCACACTCCCAGCCCCCAGAGCCCTTTTTCATCTTTTCTTCGCTCACCAAAATCCTCTGGAACTGATTTTGCTGTAGTTTTCAAATTTGCTGCTAACATCTAGAAGGAAAATAGATTAAAAACAGAGATACAGTCCTATTCCTGTTTTATGGGCCATCAGAAGAGGCCTCCTCCAGGGCCCCCCATGCTGCCTCCACATCAGGGCCCCAGCAGCCCCACTCTGCTCCCCTCTAGCCCCATTCCACTCAGGAGAGGCCACTCCTGTGGGGTCGGCATCTATGCTGTGTGTTTTCATCTCCTCTCATGTGCTCTCTGTTATAGTGGGAGGTCTGAAGAGCCCTTGGAGGGGAGAATATAAAGAACCAAGACATCCACCGCCACACCAAGCCAGCTGCCACCAGGCCCCACATGCCCAGCCAAGGGAGCGGTCACCAGCTGTGGACACCACTGGAGGGGCCCCTAAGCTTCAGCCTCCTCTACCACCGGAGCCCCCAGAGCGGAACAAGTCTCCAGCCCTGAGCAAGGAGGAATCTGGCATGTGGGAACCCTTGCCTTTGTCCTCCCTGGACCCAGCCCCTGCCAGAAGCCCCAGCTCACCAGAGCGGAGAGCAACCTTCCCCGAGCTGGAGCTGCAGCAGCTGGAAATAGGTAGGGCAGCCAGGCTGGGGTCCCCGAGCGCTGGCCCTGGGCCTTGCACCAAGGCTTCTCTGTATACCAGCCTGATTTCTCCCAGCCCCTTCCTTGGGCCCTTCCAACATTTCACATTCACTTTCCCTTTTCCCTACAGAATTATTTCTGAACAGCCTGTCCCAACCTTTTTCTCTGGAGGAGCAGGAACAAATTCTTTCATGCCTCAGCATCGACAGCCGCTCTCTGTCAGATGACAGTGAGAAGGTGAGTTGTCCATGGACGGGGAGTCACGCTTCTCCTGGCCCCGGGCACAGAGTAGAGGCTTTATGTCCAGCTGGGGAATGGGCTATGGTGCAAGTGGTGGGCGAGAGAGGATGACGGGAGAACAGGGAAGTTGGCTTTGGTCCCCTGTAGACATACACTTTACCCTCCTTCAGACTAGGACATGATAGCGCCTCATCCCCCCAGAGGGTCCAGGCCACTTTTGTCCCAAAAGAGACAAAAGACAAGAGATAGTTCCCTGAACCCAGGGCCCTGAATCTGTGCCCATTCCTGTGTTTCAGAACCCATCAAAGGCCTCTCAGAGCTCTCGGGACACCCTGAGTTCCGGTGTACACTCATGGGGCAGCCAGGCGGAGGCTGGAAGCTCCAGCTGCAACATGGTGCTGGCCCGAGGGCGGCCCACCGACACCCCGAGCTACTTCAATGGTAGGTCCCCTTTTCACCTGCTCTGCAGCCCCACATCAGCTGGGCTACCTGGAGCTAGGGAGTCACAGAGGGTTTCATGTCCCCTTCCCCGGGCACCCTGAACATGAGGCCCTTGGCAAGGACCCTAATCATCCACAAGCCTTTCCTGGTGGGACAATGAAATGTCATTGTCCTCTTATTGGCTGCTGATGGAGTCCCAGAAGGTCCCCTGGCTTGGGGAGGGGAGCAGACTCTCCTGGCTTGGAGTCCAGAAGCTGAGTAATTAATGTGTTCTGAGGGAAAAAGAAGGAAATAGGATCCGAGAGCATTTTAACCAACAAGTCAGTGACGAGTCCACTGGACTCTTCTCCAGGGATTTGAGGTCAGAGGATAAGAAAGACAATGTATAATTTTCAAGTTTGGTTGCATGGAGTGGTGGCTGGGCTTCATCAGCCTACAGCTCTGGCCGGTGTGATTCGTGGCAGCAGGTCCCCCCTGCCTGGGCCAAAGGCCATCTCAGCTCAGGAAGCAATCTGTGTTGCCCGCAATCTAATTTAAGAGTCTTTGTGTTCAGTTCCTTTCTGTTTTGCATCCAAGTTGGAGTGCTGCTTCCCCCTGGGAGCCAACCTCAGCTCTTAGCAATATGCAGGCTAAATTCCAGGTGTTGGTGGCCACCGAGAGTTATAGCAGGTGTGTACTAGAAGGGCCACTCCAACCTAAATTTCATCTCTGCCGCTTGATCACAGCTGGACCTGCTCCCCTCTACAGAGAGCAGAGTGACTTCTAACAAAAGGTTCCCCCGTCCCCTGCCTGTCCCTGCTCCCTGAGAAGCCAACAGCTGCCCTCCTGACTGTCACCTTGCCTGCCATCTAGGTGTGAAAGTCCAAATACAGTCTCTCAATGGTGAACAGCTGCACATACGGGAGTTCCACCGGGTCAAGGTGGGAGACATCGCAACGGGCATCAGCAGCCAGGTAAGGGGGTTACACACCTAGAGTCAGAGTCCCCACCCTCCAGGAGGAAGGCTTTCAAATAAATAGAAATGGCACTCTCAAGAAAAGTTGGACGTGGCTTCAGATGTCCCCGGGGTCTCAGTGATTGAGGAGCCAGATGGGATTCGCCTGGTTCTCCAGAATGAGAGGCTGCCTGTTCAGCTGGAGGAAGATGTCTCCCAGGGTGGTTGGGGACCTCATCAGTTTCACACTTCTAGGTGACTTCTGAGCCCTGTGCCACTGTCTCAATCCATTGGTTTGTTCCACCCCTAGATCCCAGCTGCAGCCTTCAGCTTGGTGACCAAAGACGGGCAGCCTGTTCGCTATGACATGGAGGTGCCTGACTCGGGCATCGATCTGCAGTGCACCCTGGCCCCTGATGGCAGCTTTGCCTGGAGCTGGAGGGTCAAGCATGGCCGGCTGGAGAATCGGCCCTAGCCCTGCCTTCCACAGCTAGCTCCAGTCCACCTGGAGCAACCTTTCTTCTGGGTGCTTGATGCCACCCTGAGATACAGATCCAGCCTGTTCCTAGGGATCTGCTGTCCCCTGACTCAGTAGTGGGTCCAGGGGCTGGCAGCAGCAAAGTGGGGGCAAATGATATACCACCCCCCCTGGACTTCCCACCTGAGTCCTGCCATCTCTGCCAAGAAAATGTTCCAGCCACGTCAGGAGACAGAGGAAGGAAGGCAGGAGGACTCTTCCCATGGGAACCAAGAGGGTCTTCTCTGCATTGCTTCACATGAGTTGGCCTGACCCATTTGGATCAGTGACCACTTGCTGGCAATCGGAGGAAAGCAACTTCCGGCCTGGGGCAGGAGAAGCAAGAGAGCCCCAGGCAAGTGTGAGAGTGAGGGCCCATGCCCAGGTCATCTAGGACCAGAGCAGCAGGTGTTCCTGCCCTTGCATTAGTGGGGGCTTCTGACCCCTTGCCTGGCCTTCCTGGCTGCAGACCCCCTTTGGGATAGAGGAGGAAGAAATGCCCAGCACTGGGAAGGAAGCCTCCTTGGTAGAACACACCACCTTTGTAGGTTGTCACAGCTCAGTTCCTAAGTCAAACTCTGGTTCAGCCAAGAACCAAAGAAGGTGTTGCAGTGAAGTGGTTCTCAGCCCTTAGGCACAAGCACGTGTCCCTTTGCTGCTCCCCAGAAGAGCAGGCCCCGTGCGCTGCCACAGACTGGCTGACACTTAGTTCCCTTGTCTAGACAAGTGAAGATCGACATGAGACCCACCTGACAGGAACAGTCTGCAGATGGGGCACCGTATAGGGGCTGTTCCCCTGCCACACTGCCAACATCCAGTACACTTGCCCTGCCCAGCCCCTGGTCCCAGGGCACTGCCAGATACACTTTGCACTCCAATGACCTCAAAGCACTTTCCTGGCTGCCTTCCAGGAGGGCAGTGGCTCTACATGGACACAAGCAGGCCAGGGTATGGGTGAAGGGACTCAGTCTTGACTGTCCATGTACATTTGATCCCTCAAACCTCTCCTCAGTTTAAGGTGAGCACTCCCTACCCACGGCCCCTGCTCGGCCTTTTATTTGCGGGGAGCTGCTCGAGACTCATGTAGCATTAAATCAACTGTGAATTGTTGCAGGGAGGGGCACAAGATCCCTCCTCAGAAGCAGCTCGTCCCCCACCCAGCCGATGTGGCCTTTGTCCCGCTGTTAGCATGGAGCCAGACTGCTCCAGGGAGAGCTGGCCCCATAGTTCTAACCCAACACTGCAGCCCCTCCAAGCTGCAGTGTTGGGTTAGAACTATGTGAACAATAAAGTTTGGAGTGATTACATCATTTAAGCCACAGGTGTCTCTTTTTCCTGCCTGCTCTCTGGACCCCATGATCTCTGGACTATCCATTCAGACCAGTTAGGCAAGATGCCCTGCCCATGGTAGAAAGGAAATCCCTGAGGAAATTGCAGGGCCAAGCGGGGGAGGGAGAAGACACCAGACTTGCACACTTTGCCAAGGTGGTCAGCCCAGTACCTCCCGAAGGCAACTAGAGGTGGGATGTTAGGCATTGACCAGGCACCGAGAAGTAGGTGCATGAAAAATGCCTCAGCTCATCCCTCCTGTCCCTGAGGCCTGGCATCCACTGAACTGAACTGAGTGTGGGCTGGGGCTCTTCCCACTTCCAGCTGCTCATGAGCATCTGCATGGGGGTGGAGGGTGACTTTGCCTGAATGAGTTCCTTGGACACAGAGCAGGGTCTGGCTGAGGACCAATGTGGCAGGGACAGAGGATACCTTGAATGATCTGGCTCCACACCCCCAATAGCTGTGCACAGTGAATGTGCATTGCACATCTGTGCAGCTTGGGTTGATTCATCTGTTCCGGAGGGATCTGGACCCACGAAAGGGCAGCGTCAGGTGCCCAGAGCGGTGCTGAGTCCAGTCTAGCAGCCTCCCGCTTACCACACCCTCCCTCTGTGTGATCTGCCAGAGCGCAGTTCCCTAGCCTAAGGAGTCGCGGCGGGAACGTCACAGAAGCGGCGACATCACAGGCGCCAGCGCCCCCAGTATTTCCAGCGCCCCCACATCCCCCCGCACCAAAGAGCGCACTGGAGGCGGAGGGGCAGCAGCCACCAGTCCGCTCCCCGCCTCCCAGACAGAGCCTCGGTCAGCATGGGGCTGACAGGTGGGAGCGAAGGGCAGGGTGGGCGCCTAGGGCGGCAGGGCAAGCGCGGGCGGGGGAGGGAAGCGAGCGAGCGGGAGGGGGCTGAACAGAACGTGCCTGGGGCGCGGGAAAGGAAGGTGGACCCGCCAAAGCCTTATGACAACCCTTACTCCACCCGCAGCCTCAGCACCTAATGATTGTGCACGGCCGCGCACTTACTCCTCTTGAGCTGAATTCAGGGTGTTCTTGGAAGGGCGCTGGACCCACGGAAAGGGTAGTCGCCGTGTGTCCAGGAAACGACTCACGAATTATTCCTAACTGCAGATACTCCCCCAAACTCACGTCCAACTCCTTGGTTGATGCTTGGAACTTTACAGGAAGGAGCAGTCGATTTTCAACAAGTATTTATTGGTCACCTTTTCCACTTGAGGACTCAGATCTCAACTGAAATTAGGACTTTCTTCTTGGAACCAGCTATCCCAGGACTTGAGCCAGTATTAAACATGCGCCAGAGAGTAGCTCTCTCCGTTCCCAAAATCCATGGTTAAGGAATTTTCACAGGCACCATAAATCACTCCTGTGACATTTATTGCACCCCTTCCAAGACTCTTGTGCCAGGCCCTGAAAAGTGGATTGACTCAACAAAGTTGAGATGTAGGTGGGACAGCTTGGTTTGTCAGAGAAGATGACACTGGAGATTAGAGTTGGGCTTTCAGGCATGTTTAAGATTTTTCTGGGAGAGGGTTTTCCAAATATAATAACATGTGCAAAAGCACTGGGGCACAAAAGAGCCTGCCATACTCTGGGTTAACTTGACCTTGAGGCAAGGGACAGGAAGCAGGATGCCAAAAAATGAAGGCCACAGTGGAGTCTGGTGTGACTGGAGGCAGGTGTTATGTAGCTGACTCTCAGGGATCAGTGAGAAGCCCAGATTGAAGGAGAACATGGTTGCAGTGTTTCCACTAGAGGCTTGAAGAGATTTCAAATAGCTAATGAGAATCATCCCAGGGTTCGGAGCCAGCAAGGCTTGCTTTCAGGTTATGTGCTGTTCTTTATCGCTGTGCAACCTCATAGGAGTTTTCTCATCTCTGAGAGGACAGTCATAGCCACCGTGCATAAGGAAGCTGTGAAGTCAATGTGTGCAAAGCACTCAGCTCAAGCACCAGCAGGAAGTCAGTGCTAGGCTTGTGTTGGCTGTGGCATTGGGAGGCAAGGAGAGAAACAGTGGAGATGGAAAAGGAAGGTCAGGAGCTACAGAAGTGTGGGGGAGTCACAGGTGACAGAGGTTTCTAAATTCAGGCAAAGGATGAATCAGGAGAGGAGAAGGGAGTTATCAAGAGAGGAAAGCCTGGAAAAGAAAGAGGGTGTGTCAGGCATGCAGAATAGCACTGGCCACACGAAGTCTGGCCTTGCAGCGTGTGAACTTGAGACAAGAAAAGCAGGATCAACTGCAGGGTTTGGCAGAGGGAGAGGGATGAGGAATTCGGATTTTTTTGCAAAGACGTTTGCTGAGCATCTACCTTGTGCCAGGCTCCATGCCGAGAAGAGACTCCAAGTGAGCAACCTGCACATCCTGCCAAAGAACTCAAGGAAGGTGAGCAGGAGACCATGTGCTCAGATAGAGGTCTGCAGGGATGGACCTGGGGCGACTGGAGAAGCAGCCTGTAACCTGGCATGATGGAGAGCCCTCCAATCACAATAAGATATCAGGATGGCAGAGGGAGAAGACAGCACCCTCTCCTGTGGGCAATGTCTTGGATGCAGTGAATTTGAGGTCAGGAACAATGAATTTGAGGTCAGACACAAATGACTGGAGTTTGGGTGAAATGTAAATAAGAATCAGATGGGAGCGTCTGCTATGTTTCACAGGCTTGAAAGCAACCTGGGCACAAGGACTTGCTCATCACTGTATCCTCAGCCCCCAGTACATGCCTGGCCTAGAGCAGGCACTCACCATATTCTTTCAACTTTATCAAAGACATGTGCAGATATCTCAAGGGTACTGAAGAGCTTATTCAGTGACGAAAAACAAGGATCTCTACATCCTCAGGTCAACTCCTGGAAGCCACTGCAGTTGTTCCATTTGAACCGTTTTTCTGCCTAATTACCTTTTTATCTCTGCAAGTTCACAAGCTCATTCTTCACTTATCAGTTCTTTGCTGATGTAAAGGTACCAGGCAGTCTCCCGGTCCTCCCAACATCATTTGCTTTAGATCTGCTGATTCCTATAAACTGAATATACTCATATTATTATTTTCATAAACTTTACACAGTATTTTTTTTGAGAGAGAGAGAGAGAAAGAGAGAGAGAGAATTTTTTATTTTTTGGTGGACACAACATCTTTATTTTATTTGTATGTGGTGCTGAGGATCGAACCCAGCACCCCACCCATGCCAGACGAGCCCACTACGGCTTGAGCCACATCCCCAGCCCAAGACAGTATCTTTTGATACTCCACAAAGTAAGATATTTTTAGAGCTCCTTCGTTCTCTTTAGCTTTTCTCTCTGCCTTCTATCTCCCCGAAACTCTAACCTGCACTTTTGGTGTCTGAATATTGAGACAATATCATTGTCCCATAACCACAGTCACATTTTCCAAATATTTTCTAGATATTGAGTCTAAAAATTGAAAGTTAATGAACAAGATTTGTTTTATTGTAACTAACTTCTATTCGTTGCAAAAACCAAGGGAAGAAGGTATCATGGTTACCTTTTCTTTCTTTTTTTTTTAATACCTTTATTCCATTTATTCATTTGTATGTGGTGCTGAGGATTAAACCCAGGGCCTCACATGTGCTAGACAAGCTATAGCCCAGCCCCTACCTTTTCTTTCTTACCCAGCTTTTTGTTTTTCCTAGAAATTCATGTTGCCTTTTTCTTACACCCTTTGGTTTTATCATAGTGTTAGTTTCCCCTCAACTGCCATGTCTGGTCAATTGTTCGGTCAGAATTTCTTTTTTCAGATCTACTATCTAGAACCCTCTGTTTGCTGCACCAAATCTGAACTGATTGTTGGCCTCTATCTAGTAGATATCTGGGACTTGGCTATTTTGCTGGGATAGACATGTTATTTCCTTCTAGACTTTCTTGTTGTACATATTCATTTTCTTTAATACATATTCAAATAATTTCCTAAAAAAGAGAAAGTAAATTTTCTGTTTTTTTTTTTTTTTTTGTATCTGAAATGACAGTTTGGCTGGATATAAAATTCATTTTCCTCCGAATTTAAAGGCAAGTTAGTTAAAATAAAACCACTGTTGATAAGTCTGCTACCAGTATGAGTTTCCTCTGTTTGTAGGTTACTGGGTTTTCCTCTTTAGAAGCACTTAGGAGTTGTTTGTTACCCATGTAATGTACTCTCACAGCAAGGATGTTTTGACATCTGTCAAGTTAGGCATTCAGTGAACTCTTTTAAACTAGGGACATCCTTCAGTTTCATTCTTGGGCTCAGGGAGATTTTGATTTTTCTTCTCTTGTGTTTGCTATTGTTGTTGTGTTTTGCTTTGGGGGCTATTGGGGAATGAACCCAGGGCCTCGAGCACACTAAGTAAGCCCTCTACCACTGAGTTACGTCCCCAGCCCTCTGTGTTCTCTATTCTTGATCTCCTTTCTAGAATTCAGAAATGGATCTCCTATGATCCTTTTCTCTCATGTTATCTTACATTTTGATTCCACCTCTGGAGATATTCTCTGTTTTAATTTTCTAAACCTATTTGCCAAAGCTATTTCCTTCTATAATTTTCGTAACATCTTGTTCTTATTTTTGATGTAAAACGTATTAAATATAGGCATTCATTCTTGAATCTCTAAAAAATGTTTAGTTGCTCTTTGAGCTCTTTCTGTTTCTCAAATTACCTCTGGTACTCTAGGATCATATTTTCTCTTGATCTGCTACTGACATGTGTTTGGTAATAGTTGGTTGTCCATGTTCAAGAGTAGAATAATTAAAAAGCTGATGGAGATCCTTGTGACTCTAGGACCTACTGCCTGGCAGATAGCACTTTAAGATGACCAGGTAGGAACCAAACACATCAGTGGGGACCACTGCCTGCCAGAATGTGGAAGTCCTTCCTGGTGGTGGTCATGTGGCTGCCACGGGTACAGCACTTACAGTGGGGAAGGAGCACGTTCAGCCCATGGCTCTGTCCTGTCTAGTTTCTCTGAGTTGGCCCCCCTGGGACTCACCTGGACAGGTGGGCTCATCCTCCTCCTACTTGCTCTTTCTCCTCAGCTGGAGTTACTTCTGACTCCACCTCTTCATCAGGTGCCAATCCTCCGCTATCCACATTCTAAAGACATGATGGACCTTCTGATGTGCTTGTGGGTCCCCCTCGTGTGCTTACTCATTGCAAACAAATTTATACTACTGTCACTTTTTAATATTTAAAATATTAAATACCAGGCTAAGAGGAAATGAAGGTGTGTTGTATAAGGTTCTTATACGATTTGTAGAGCAGTATACTACCCTTTGAACCTAGGATAAATTAAATATGTATATTATAAATCCTAAAGTAACAGAGTTGTAGCTCATAAAAGTCTACAGAAAAAAAAGTCAACGGGAAAGATAAAATGGAATTGAAAATATATGCTACAAAAGAAAGCTCAGGAGACTGAGGCAGGAGGAATTCAAGGCCACCTCAGCAAAAGCAAGGCACCAAGCAATTTAGTGAGACCTTGTCTCCAAATAAAATAGAAAATAGGGCTGAGGATGCAGCCCAGAGGTTGAGTGCCCCTGAGTTCAAATCCCCAGTTCCAAAAAAAAAAAAAAATTAAAACAACAACAAAATACATGTGGACCTACCCATTTTATATCAAAGATAGAAAATTATAAAATCTGGGACTGGAGTTGTGACTTAGCAGTAGAGTGCACGCCTAGTGCATGTAAGGTGCTGGGTTCAATCCTCAGCACCACATACAAACAAAGATGTTGGGTCTGACGAAAACTAAAAAAATAAATATTAAAAAATTCTCTCTCCTCTCTCTCTCTCTCTCTCTTTAAAAAAAAAAAAAAAAAGGAAAGTCCTCAAATCTGTATGTCAGTTTTTGTCTCACAAAGGGGATTGGGGCAAATGAAGCCCAAAGTAAGCAAAAGAATAAAGAGCTAAGTGGCAATCAATGAAAGAAAGAAAAGCAGAAAACAGAAGAAACCAGTGAAACCAAAAGATGGTCCTTTGGGATCCACAAAATTAATAAATCCCCAGCCAAGAAGAAAGAGAACCAAAGTTATCTGAAATGAAAGCGATGATACCATTACAGATTCTACCTATGTGCAATGGATAACTCATGCAAATGAAATTGACAACTTAGATAAAATGGGCCAATTCCTTACAAGACAAAAATTTTGGAAGCTCACTCAAGAAGAAATAGTCATGCACAGTGGCACATGTCATAATCCCAGGGACTTGTGAGGCTGAGGCAAGAGGATAGAAAGTTTGAGGCCAGCCTCAGCAACTTAGCAGGACCCTGTCTCAAAATAAGAAAAGCTGGTATTGTAGCTCAGTAGTAGAGCTCCCCTGGGTTAAATTCTCAGTATCATAAGAAAAAAAGAAACAGATATTCTGGAGATGGATGGTGTCAATGGTTGCACAATAGTGTGTACGCACCTGATGGCCCTTGACTGTATAAATATCATTCTAATATCTAATATCAAAACTCATCATAAGAAAGGAAAATTGGTCACCAATATACCTTGTGGGGAAAAAAAAAAAATTTTTTTTTTTTTTTGTACTAGGGATTGAATCCAGAATCACTTCACCACTAAGCCACATTACCAGCCCTTCTTATTTTTTATTTTGAGACAGGGTCTTTTTAAGTTACTTAGGGCCTTGCCAAGTTGCTGAAGCTGTCCTCGAACTTGGGAGACTCCTGCCTGTACCCAGTTTTCATGTATTTCTGTACACTGGCAACAATTGGAAATTGGGATTATTTTATAGACCATAGGCTGTTACTTGAATCCTCAATAGAACATCCCTAAGTCAGGCACAGAGGTCCCAAGTGGAGTCAAACTCAGACTTTTTTCCAGCCCCCACACTCCATAATCATTTCCCCCTTGTCCATACTTAGTTGCTACTTATGGAAGGGTTGAGGCTATGGGTGTTGGTCAAATTGCCCAGGGAAACTGTAAAGCAAGTGAAGGGAGGCTGTCCACTCAGAGGCTGCAGAGGAGCCAGGCTTGGGCTAGGGGGAGCTGGAGATGGAGCAGCAGACTTGTGGAGGAAGCCAGGGGAGCTGTGGACAAGGAGGTAGAACTGGCCATTGGGGTGCTGCCCATGGAGATACCCTCAAAGCCTTACCACTCAGTTGCTACAAGATCTCCAGGCCCAGGCGGAAGCACAGAGATCCCAAACCAACCCCTGGATCAGACCTGCAAGGACCACTGCCCTCCAGTCTACATCTCCAAGAAGAGACCGCAGCACATTCTCATGTTCTTCTTAGCCAGAACCAGGACTGTCACTTCCTGCCCCAGCCCAGGTTCATGGGGACCCACTGTGCCTGATGCACGATTGCCCCCATCACCCCCGAATCACTCTGCCATGAACTCTTATCCTCTACCCTGGGGAGCAGAGAATGGGACAACCGGGTGTCATCACCCCAGGGGAAGATAAAGAGCAGCTTCTGCACTAGAAGATACAGTCTCCAGGGAGGGGCCTGGTATGGGGACCAGTCATGGGAGTCACTCAGCCTCCTCTGCAGAGGGTGATCCTAACTCACAAGTCACCAGTGAGGGAGGTGCTGGCATTGTCTCAGATCAACTCCTGAAGTTAGGGTACTGGCCTGGGTGGGGATGGATGGGCTGGGGGAGGACAACAAGCAGCAGAGGAGCAGAAATAGAGGGAGAAGAGGAAGGTCCACCTGGGGCGTGGTGGCCCCTACAGTTACAGGCTCCTGTAGAGGACAGCAATGTGGGCAGGGAGAGTTTCTTAAGACTTTGTTCAAGTCCAGCTGTGGAACCACAGGCAAATGAGCCCCTCTAATATTTGGCACAGTGAGGTCACAGCACTGGGGCAGAGGTAGCGCTCCATCAGCGGAAGGGAAGACTCTTGTGGCTGGGGTGATGGAGGGGGGATAGGCGGGGCCAGGATGACGAGTGGAGGCAAGCTGATATGGAGGACAGGACTGGTGATGTGGCAAGGGGACAGAGAGGAGGGATGAGCTGGAAGAGGGGACAGGCAGGCTGAGGTGAGGCAGTGGGGAGGGGGAGGCGGCTGGCCAGCACCACTAGCCCTGACTCCAGGATCCCTCAAGGACTGTCCCTCACCCTGCAGCTCCCCACCCTGATCTCCTTCTCCCTGCCAGGTGCTAATGGATTTCCCTGCTGTGGCAAGGGGGCAGTGGACATCGTGGAGATACCGTGAGAACCAGTCTCCCCACTCCTACCCTTGCCCCCTGAATCCATGTGGCTCCCCCACCACACCTAGAATTTCCCTCCTTTTTGCCCATTTCTAAAGTCTTCCCAAGATCAGTATCCAGGCCAAAAGTCTGGAGGTGGGGGTGTCTGCCATTCCTCTTCTCTCTCTGCCTTCAGTCCCTGACACTGGAGGAAGGCTGAGGGGTGATGGGGCACAGCGGGGATATGGATAGGGCCTGACTACTGAGAGAGGCCTTGCCTGTGCAGGACAGAGCTGTCAGGAGGGGGTGGGCAGGTGCCTAAGGAAGAATCGGGGATAACAATAGCCAAGCACAGAGGGCAAGGGTCAAGAGCAACAGAGAGAAACTTCCCATCCACACACATCTCTGGTCTCCAGACCTGCAAAGCTGGGAATGGGCAGGTGGGTGGACATTGCTCTGGGCTTTCCCCTCGGTAGGAAGCCCTTTTTCTGAGCTTTGGTTCTCAAAGCAAGCTATGTGGGCTCACCTGTGATGTTCCATAAAAATGAAGATTCCCTGTGTCTCCTCCAACTCACCCAGTCCCACTGTGGGGATGACAGATGAGTTGGCAAACCTCCTAGGAATTTTCTAAACTCACTGGAACTTAAGAATATCATGCTCTTTGTGGGAGTGGGGACACTGAGGAGTGGGTCAGTTAGTGAGGTCATCTTACCAGCCCCTGTATAAGACAAGAGACCTTGAGAGTCTCAGAGATCCCTTTTCCCCTGAGCCAATCTCGAGGATCCCTATCACCCACTCTGACTTCTTTTGTCTTAGGAATGACTTCAACTCCCCACGGCCCCATCCCCGATTAGCAGAAGAGGAAGAAGACCTAGAGGTGAGAGTGACAAGGTCCCCCCATATGAGGAGTTGGTAGGCAAGGGGCAGAGTCTTTGAGGCCCACCTTTCCTAAATCCCCACCAACCCTTATCCTTGACAGTTCTGGGACCTTAGTACCAGACTGGTGTGGCAGCTCACACACCCCCACCCCCATCACCCACCCACACTGTCTCCTGCCCCAGGCAGGTCTTTGGTGCCAGGAAGGACCTTGCAGGCAGGGACACCCAGCTTTGCCTCCTTAGATTTTAGTTGAAATCTTTCAGATGGAGGAAGAATTGCTAGAGCAAGAGCCTCGGCCCAGAGCAAATGTGGATTCGCACCTGGACTCAGTCCCAGATCTGGAAGACAACTCAGATGTAGACATCCCAGAGAGGGGGCCTGAAGCTAAGTCACACAATGACCCCTATTGGGAGATGAGCTCTCTGGAGTTTGGCTGCGAACACACCGAGCAGCAATATTACACAGTAGAGACCCTCCATCCCTACACAGAGGAGATACCAAGGACCTTCTCGGGATGGTCGATAGGCTCCAACTCCAGCCTCCAGAGTGTCTCAGGGAAAGAACTGACATGCCCTGAGCATCGCTCCATCCGTGTACAGACTTCCAAGCACCTCTTCTGGGCAAATAAGCTCATCCAAGCATCAGAGCACAGCCTGCAACAGGCAATAAATAGGCAGTCCAAAGAAAGAGACACAGAGAAGACCCCCAGCCACCCAAAGCAGGAGTCCAACCCCAAGAACACACTGTGCCCTGAGAATATGCTCCAGATCTCCAGGGCCCTGACATTTCGCCAAGTCACAACCTCCCAGCCAATATCAAGCCCTTGTCTGTCAACCTCCAGCCTCCCGCCACCCATCGGCCTGGAAGAGCTGATCAATTTCGCATCTTCCTTGGCCGTAGCCTCCAACGACATGGAGTTGCCCAGTTTAGAACAAATGATCAAAGCTCCATCCCGGAAGTCTGCGGCACCTTCTAAAGAGCCTGTGAAACCTTGTACAGAGCCTGTGCAGCCTCAGAATCCACCCAAAGCCAAGGAGCCAGAGAAAGTTCCAGAACAGGAAAAACAGAGCTTCCCTTCTTACCTAGACTTCAAACCTGGGATCAAGAGAGCCACCATTGAGGGGGAAGTGAAGTTCCTTCCCACACAGGACACCCCCGCCACGCTGCAGGAATGCAAGGAAGAGTGAGTAGACTGGGTACAACTCCCCTAAGGGCCACAACTGTGGGGCCTCATTGCTTGCTCAGCTGGGCAGGGGTAAAGAACAGCGGAATGGGGGGCTGAGCAGGGCCACTTGCAGCTCAGTGAGGCCTCAACCTCAGTGACCTCATAAAGGCTGCTGGAAACGAAGTTTCAGTGGACTGAGGTGAAATGCCAAGGCCAGGGCCGAAGGAGGCTTGGGGACCATGGAGGGTGAGCTCTCCCAGTCTAGAGTGGGGACCTGGGTTCAAAGTGGGAAGGGTCAATGTGGCATTAGAAAGTGGAACTACTCTGCTGGTGTCTGCCCTGCAGAGAGTGCTGTCTGTAGCCCTGGGCAAGGACACTGTGTGGAGGGACAGTGAGGGGACAAGGCTGTGTAGTGGTCCTTGCCTCTGGTAATGGAGGGACACAGACCAGAACATCAGCTGCCCAGCCACATGCAGCAGAAGGCCCCTGACCCCAGGACCTCCTCCCTTGGACAGGTCCTGGGCCTGCCCCTCCTTTGTCACCCTCTCCCTGGGACCCCAGTGACACTCTTTCTTTTGTGTTGCAGCTCGGTGCCGGGAACCAAGAAAGGGAATCCGTTATTCCTGAAAATCCATTTTAAGCTGTCATCCCCTTCCACCCCAGAGAAATGACTAGACAAAACCAGTAAAACCTCCAGTGCTGATCCCTCGCTCAGACTTTTTGTGCAAATGCTCCTGGACCAATGAACTCGTGGCTGCCATAGCCGAGTCTCAATTTTTTAGGGATGACACCCCCATATTTTTAGTTGTCCCCAGCCCCACCAACTCCCTGAGGGCTCTGTCACCCTGTTCCTGGCCATCCATCTCACCCTGCTCACTCCCCAGGGATAGTTCCACTTCACTCCCCTTAGCCAGACTTCAAGGCCACCTGGAAAGACTCATCTGAGCCTTCAGGAGGCTTCAGAGTCCTCTCTGAGGCTTCCAATTCTTAGGCCTGAAGCCAAGGGCACATTGGGATCATCTGAGGGGGGTAACCCCTGGGGGGTGGGACTGGGCAGGAAGAAAGGGAGTGTGGAGGGAGTTCTTCCTGTCTCTCCTCGGGGAAGACCTGCACGGAAAAGGGATGGTGCCTGGGGGCTTGAAGGAAGCCAAGAGACTGGTCCTCCAGGGGACCACAGCATTAAGCTGGAGGTCCCTCAAATGTAAGGAGAGCCCACGGTAACTGTGCATACCCATATGCAACCCAGACATGCACACACACCATAGCCTAGCACTCACTGCACATCCATGCACACACAGAGGAAGCCACACGGATGCCCAAGCAACACACATCCTGTGACTTTCACATGTACAAAACATGCACACAAATGCCCAAAGTTCCCCGTGTCTGGGGTCAGGCTTTGGAGGCCCAGGGGGTGAGCAATACATGGAAGCTTCTGGCAGAGGCAAGATGGATGCAAAGGAAGGAAGGGAATTTGGAGTTAGGGGTGGACATGGGTGTGGAGAGTGAAGTCTGCGGGAGAGAGGAGGGGCACCCTGAGCCCTGATCAGCCTCTGACACCCCCCCCCCCCCGCTCTGGATGTCAGGCCCTCTGCCTAGGGAAAGCCCAGCTTTGCACATCTTCAAGAGCCTGGCAGGTATTGAGGAGGGAGGAGGGAGGAGTCCAGGAAGACAGATTTAGAAGAAGGGAGTAGTTGAGAATGGGTAGGGCCAGAAGGAGAAGGGGGCCAGAGGCTGGAAGAAGGGACCAAGCAATGATGAAAAGGTAAAGTGTCCCAGGTGAAGCTAGACCCAAATTGTCATTAGGCTCTCAGGACTCATCTTTCTGGAGTATTTTGATTTTTGTTTTTTGAAAAACAAATTTTATTTTTAGAGCAGTTTTAGGGGTACTGTAAAATTGAGCCTGAAGTACAGGGATCCCATATTCTTTCTTATCCACTCACCCCACAGCACCACTGGTACATTTGTCACAAAAATGAACCTACATCAACAAATCATCATCACCCAAAGTCTATAGTTTACTTGAAGGTTCACTCTTGGTGTTGTACCTTCTAAGGTCTTTGACCAATGTATATTGACAAGTATCTATCAAGGGAGAGTTCAGAATAGTTTCTAATGTACTCAGCCTATTCATCCCTCCCTTCCCCCATTCCCAGGCAACCGCTGATCCTTTCACTGTCTAATTTTGCTTCTTCCAGAATGAGTTGGATAACATACATAGCCTTTCAAATTGGCTTCTTTCACTTAATAATATGCATTTGTTTCCTCCGTGTCTTTTCATGGTTTGATTCTTTTTTAGCACTGAACAATGTTCCACTGTCTGGTATATCACAGTTTACTTATCCATTCACCTACATCCTGGTTGCTTCCAACGCTTAGCAATTAGGAATAAAGCTACTATAAACATCTGCATGCAGGTTTGTGTGTGGACTTCAGTTTTCAGATCATTTGGGTAAATACCAAAGAGGATGATTGCTTTACCGTATATATGGTATGGATTTGTTCTTTTTTGTAAGAAACCACCAAACTGTCTTTCAAAGTGATTATACCATTTTGCACTCCCACCAGCAACAAATGAGCATTCCTGATGCTCCACATCTTCACCAGTATTTGGTGGTGCCTGTATTTTGAATTTAGGCATTCTAATAGGTATGAAGTATGTGGTATCTCCCTAACAATATATGGCTTTGAACATCTCCTACACTCACTTTTCATTTGTGTATCTTCTTTGGGAGGTGTCTGCTCAAATCTTTTGCCAGTTTTTTAACTGGGTAGTTCATTATTATTGAGTTTTGAGAGTTACAGTCCTTTATCAACAGTGTGTTTGCAAATAATTTCTCCCAGTCCCGTTTGTCTTCTCATTCTCTTGATGTTGTCTTTTGTAGAGCAGAAATTTTTAATTTTAATGAAGTCCAGCTTATCAATTATTTCTTTTACAGATCATATTTTTGTTATTGCATCAAAAAAGAGTCATTGCCATACCCACACTCAGATAGGTGTTCTCCTGGGTTACCTTCTAGGAGTTTTAGAGTTTTGTGTTTTACACTTACTTCTATGATCTATTTTGAGTTGCTTTTTGAGAAGGATGTAAACTCTGTGTCTAGATTCATTTTATTGTAGGTGAATGACAGTCATGTCATTGGCAAACAAAGATAGCTTTATTTTTTCCCAATCTGTATACCTTTTATTTCCTTTTCTTATCATACTGCATTATCTAGGACTTCCAGTACAATATTAAAAACAGCAATTAGAGGGCTGGGATTGTGACTCAGTGGTAAAGCACTAGCCTAACGTGTGAGGCACTGGTTTTGATTCTCAGCACCACATACAAATAAATAAATAAAGGTCCATCAACAACTAAAAATAAAATAAAATTTAAAAAAACAGCAATTAGAGGGATTAGAGGGGACATCTTCTGCATCTTCACATGAAAGCTTTGTGATTCTCCCTGCTAGGTATAATGTTAGCTGTGGATTTTTTTTTTTTAATTTATTTTTTCAGGTACTAGGTATTGAACCCAGGGCCTTGCACATTCCAGGCAAATGCTCTACTACTGAGCTATGTCCCCAGCCTCCTAGCTATAGACTTTTTTTTTTTTTTGGGGGGGGGGGTACGGGAGATTGAACCCAGGGGTGCTTAACCACTGAGCCACATCTCCAGCCCTTTTTATTTTTATTTTTTATCTTGAGACAGGGTCTCACTAAATTGCTTAGGGCCTCACTAAATTGCTGAGGCTGGCTTTGAACTTGAGATCTTCCTGTCTCTGGAGGCGCTGAGATTACAGGCATGTGCCACTAAACCTGACTTAACCTGGACTCTTTATTATTAATTAATTTATTTATTCATTCTTTTTTTTTTTTGGTACCAGGCATTGAACCCAGGGATGCTTAACCACTGAATCACATACACAGCCCTTTTTATTTTTTATTTTGAGATAAGGTCTTGCTAAGTGTCTGAGGCTGACTTTTAATTCATGATCCTCCTGACTCAACATCCAGAGTTATCTTTTTAATATTTATTTTTTAGTTTTAGGTGGACACAATATCTTTATTTTTATGTGGTGCTGAGAATTGAACCCATGCCTCATGCATGCTAGGCGAGCGTGCTACCACTTGAACCACATCCCCAGCCCAGCCTCCTGAGTTTCTGGGACTACAGGCATGCACCACCACACTCACTATAGATTTTTTTGTAATGTTCTTTATCAAGTTGAAAAGTTCGCTATTTCTCGAGTTTTTGTTATGAATGGGTATTGAATTTTGTCATTTTTCTGCATGTATTTATATGATCATGTGATTTTTCTTCTTTAACCTATTGATGTGATGGATTACAATAACTAAATCTCAAATGTTGCATTCCTGTAATAGATCCCATTTGGTTGTGATGTATAATTTTTTATTCAAGTAGAATAAATATAAATAAAAATAAAAGCAAAAATCAACAAAATCAAAAACAGGAAATCAATAGAGAAAATCATCAAAATCAAAAGCTAGTTCTTTGAAAAAGATCAATAAAATCAATTAGCTCTAGCCATACTAACAGAAAAAGAGAGAAAGGATTGATATAATTTCTTTCTTAAATATTTGATAGAATTCACCAGTAAACCTATCGGGCATGGTACTCTTTGTTTTGGAAGGTTGTTAACTTTTTTTTTCTTTTGGTAGTTGTAGGTGGATAGAATGCCTTTATTTTATTTGTTTATTTTTATGTGGTGCTAAAGATCAAACCTAGTGACTCATGCATGCCAGGTAAGCACTCTACCACTGAGGTACATCCTCAGAACAGAAGGTTGTTAATTATTGATTCATCTTCTTTAATATATTCTATTTCTCCATGTGTTATTTTTGGCAGATTGCGTTTTTCAATGAATTGTCCATTTCATCTAGATTATCAAATGTATAGGCATAGAGTCATCCATAATATTCCTTTTTTTAATACTTTGAATGTCCATTATATCTAGAATGATGTTCTCTCTTTCATTCTATTATTAATAATTTGCATCATTTCTCTCTCCCTCCCTCCCTCACTCCCTCTTCTTTCTGTTACCCTAGCTGGAGCCTAATTGATCTTACTGATCTTTTCAAAGAACCAGCTTTTGATTAAGGTGATCTTCGGTAATGATTTCCTGTTTTCAATTTGTATTATCTTTACTTACCTTGGATTTAATTTGTTCTTCTTTTTCTAGTTTCTTAAGATAGATACTTATTGATTTTAGATATTCCTCCTTTTCTAAAATATTCATTTTAATTCTATAAACTTCCCTCTTAGCATTGCTTTTGCTTATAGCCCACAAATTTTGAATGAACTGTATTTTTATTTTCATTTAGTTTCAAATATTTTTAACCTCTCTTGAGATTTTTGTTTGACCCGTGTATTAATTAGAAGTGTGTTATTTAATCACTAAGTTGGGGATCTCCCAGCTATCTTCCCCTCACTTCCCAGTACTAGAGGATGAACCCAGGGCCTCTGCAGGGTAGCCAAGTTTTCAACCAGCTGCATCTCCAGCCTTTTTTTTTTTTTTTTTAAGATGTCCATGGGGCTGGGGTTGTGGCTCAGTGGTAGAGTGCTCGCCTAGCATGCATGAGGCACTGGGTTTGATCCTCAGCACCACATAAATGAAAAATAAAGATATTGTGTCCACTCACTGCTTGCCCATCTTGCCTCCATTTACACCTGTGGAGGATGATGCGGAACCCCTTCTCATAGGTAGCACCCTGGATCCCAAGAGGCTGCTGTGTCACGTCTGTGTGCGCTTATGAAATTGTGCTGTTACAGATGGTTTCCACCCAACTCGTCTATTTATACATGAACTCTGTCATTAAAGATTTTTGAGAACATGAAAAAAAAAAGATATTGTGTCCACTAAGAAAATAAATATTTAAAAATAAAAAAAGATACCCAGGCTGTCCTCAAATTTGTAGTCCTGCCCCAGCCTCCTGAATAGCTGGATCTGAGATCACCAGCATGTACCACCATGCCTGGCCTCCCAGCTATCTTTCTATTATTGATTTCTATTTTAATTCCATTATGACCCAAGAGCAGACATTATATAATTCTTATTCTTTTAAATTTATTAAGGTTTCATGGAATTTTTTTTAATATGGCAGACAGGTCTATATTGGGCTGGACCCTCACCCTCTCAGTTCTTGGCTTTGGGCTCCTGGGACCTACTTCTCTGGGCCTCTGTCATTCTGACTTAATATCCAGAGTGGAGTCACAAGTTCAGGTGTCTTAAGGGAGGCAAAAACTCAGAAGAATAAAGCAGCAGGTGATCAACAGGGAGAAGCAGATCTCTGGTGAGAGAGAGAGTGTATCTCCCACCAAAGACAAAATCCACCACAAAGGCAGCCTGGGGGCTATAGGTTTTGGGCACTGGAGCAGCCTCAGAGCCTATGACTCTGCCTTTCAGGCAGAAGAAGGCAGAAGACCAAGAGATCCCCACCCACACAGAAAAGGTACAGGTGATCAGGGTTGGAGGAGGGTCCTCCTCCCTCACCAGAGGTGGGGGGGGGGGAGTATCACTGCCATAGCCCTGCCCTCAGAACCTCTTGGAGGGAGGGTTATGGGTACCTCATGGGAGAAGGTAGACCTGCACACACCCACAGGCCTGGTCCCAGATCCCCTGGAGTCAGCATATTCCAGTGGCCTGAGCCCCTCTGCCTTGTCTTCTCCATGCCTCTAAGGCCTCCACAGAAGCCTCGAAGGCTGCTCACACAAGATCGAGGTGAGGAGCAGTCCAGCAGGGTGCAGAAAGGGAGGTGTCAGCTGCACACTGCCCAAATGACCCAAACAGAGCCACCAGAAGCCATAGCCACAAAGACTGAGCAGACTACACAGAGGGCAAAAGAATTCAAGAGCCCTGTGGCTGCCCACCCAGCTTGGTCAGGACCAGATGCCAGATCTCAGAGGTGAGGGTGGGGAAGCCAGACCGGGGGCACTGGGTTTGGGTAAGGCCTGCCTGGCCCTGGCATCTCTCTGCAGCAGGTGCCAAGACCTGACCAACCTCTTCCCCCTGGGGCAGCATGACAGACGAGAATCTCCTGCCCCTGACAGCCCGGCAGCTGACAGGTGAGAGTCCTAGGCTGGGAGTAGGGAGGGAAATTAGGGGGTGCTCAGGGCAGAACTATGAGAGGTTTTCCGCCCTGAGGCTGGGGTCAATATCTGTAAACCTTGCAAGAAGCCAGTATTTATAACCTTCCCTCCATGCCAATATAAATTTGTTAATCTCTACAAACTGAAATTCAATGATGTGCCTGGTGTGTGTGTGTGTGTGTGTGTGTGCACGCATGCGCAGGAAGGAAAGAAAACTGGATGGAGTGTTGGATAGTCAAATGATGGTATTGGATGGATAGATGGATGGCTGAACAAATGGACAGATAGGCAAGATGGAAAGGAAAAAGGGAAGAGGGAAAGAAGGAGACAGGATGAAAAAAAGAATGAATTCCCCTGTTGCCTAGGATCTAGGCTATGGGTGGGGAGTGCAAGAGTAGAAAGAATCACTTCCCCAGTGTTCCTCAAAGATATATCCTGGTGTTGGTAGGGGCCTTTCAGAGCAGAATAATTTTCTACATCAACACTTTTCAGTGCCTGCTATATGCCAGGCCCCAGCAGGGTTCCAGGGCATCATAGTTAGTCAGACTGCCAGGTATGACCTTGAACATGAGTTTTGAATGCTTTTCATATAAACATGTCCAAGACTCATGTTTGAATTTCAAGACTGAATGGGCACTAAAATGCCAATACAAAGCTGCCACTACTGTTATTTGTATTAAAAGTTATATATGCCCAGGGGGCTGAGGTAACCTAAGGCATCAGATGTTCCACCTTAGCTGCAATAGGCAGATCTTAGGGCTCAGGGTTCCTATGTGTGCTGTTCACCTTGCTGCCTGCTCCCCTCTACCCTCAGCCTTCCAGGATATCTTAAAACTGTTCAGCTGCAGCCCAACAGGCACCGTGGACATGCGCAGCATGAAAATTGCCCTGCGCAATGTGGGTATCCAACTGGGCCCTCAGGAGATGTGTGAGGCTCTTCGGCTGGCAGACTTGGATGGTGGGTGTCCCATCTCTGCCCTCTTGCACTCTCCCACCTCCAGATAGTCTCCTGATGAATGCTACCCCTGTCCACAACATTCCTCCCTAGTTGTACTTTAAAGTTCCCTCTCCTGGGAAAAGAGTCCTCATCACCATTATCTCATGGCCTTTAAACATTGCTGCTGATTTAATTCTTATCCTGACATGTGGCTGCCCCAAGGCAAGGGCTATTTCTCCCCTACTCAAATTAGGGTCTACCTTTAGCTTCTCTGTGGACCCAGTTGGATATCCACATTGCACAGGGCAACTTTCATGCTATGCGTGTACCTTTTGGGCTGCAGATGAACAATTTGAAATATCCTGGAAGGGCAGGCAGGGAGAGGCAGACAGCAAGGTGAACCACACACATGGGAACCCTGAGTCTGTGTATACAGGGCAAGGCTTCTGCAGGGGCAGGCACCCATTGCATCCTCCACTCTCTATTTCCAGGTGATGGAATCGTAAGCTTCAAAGACTTCCTGGGTGTCCTCACTGACAACCATTACGTGGCTCAATGCATGCGTGAGCACAAGACTGGTGTGGCAGGAGTGGGCCTGGCCTGGGGAGGAGGCCTCTCCTCACACTTATTTTTGCTGTCCCCAGGGCAAGTGAGAAACCGTCGGGTCTGTGACCCCAGGAGCCTAAAGACCCTGTTCATAGAGATCCTGTTCAAGCTGCTTAACCAGGGCTTTGTGCCCTCCAAGTCCACACAGGAGGTGATGAGGTGGGCACAACCGTCCCTAGATCCCAAGCCCCAAAGATAGGAGCCCTGAACTCTGGGCCCTTTTCCTGGGCCCCAAGCCACCCCAGACAAAGACAAGTAGCTTACTGTTCTCCTTGAGTTTCGGTGCCTGTGAGATGGAGAGGACGAAGGAGGCATTGTCTAAAACGGATACCCCACTTCTCTCCTTCAAGCTACTACTTCAAGAAGCAGAGGGCTCTGCAGTTGAGCCCGGGCTGTAGGGATCGGGCCCGCGGCCAGGGCCGGCCGTCGCGCGCCCACGCTGGCCTCAACTTCTTCTGTCAGGCGGCGCGCGTCAGCGGCCTCTCCAACACGGAGCTAGCGCGCTCTCTGCACACACTGTGCAAACCGAGTGCGCGCTCAGTGGGTAGAGGCCGGGGGTCAGAGGCGCGGGGCTGGGGGCCACTGGAAAGGGGACTCTTCCGGTCACACACAGTCCCCGCCACCACCTCTGGCCTCCGAGGACCCACTCCCGGCACCACTATCCCCTCCCCCTTCTCCTGCCGGGCGCCTGCCCCAGGTGCGCGCAACCCCTACTCTCAGATACCCAAACTGGCCGGGCGGATGCGGCCAGAATGCAGGACGCGGAGCCGAATCCCCCCCCCCCCCCGACATCCGCCTTCCCAAGCCCCACCAGCCGGGCCGCTCCAAGCTCCTGCCCAACCTGGGACCGCTCAGCCCAGGTGAGAGCAGGCGCGCTGGGCTGGCGATGCAGACCAGGGGCTCCGCCGGAGAAGGGCTGGCGGGCCGGGGAGAATCAGGACAGGGCAGATGGGGCGGAGGCGATAAAGCAGATGCGGCGGGACTGGCGGGCGGCAGGCGAAGAGTGGGAGTACACCGAAAGAAACGGGGACGGAGTAGGCGCAGGCGCCGAGGGAGGCGTGACTAAAGTAGGACCCGCAAAGGAAAAGGGGGCGAGGTATCCAGGTAGGAGGCCCCAGCGGAAGTGGGGGGCAGCAGCAAGACGGACCTAGGAGGTGCTAATCCCGCGAGTCTCCGCATCTCCGAGCTGCTGGCTACACCCTCCGCATCTCTGAACTGCCGGCTACACCCTCCACGTGCTCCCTCCGCCCTCCCGCAGGGTACGTGGACGAGTCGCTGGAGCAAATAGGCCTCTCAAAGCGGGCTCTGTCCCCTGCGACTCTAGTGCAGAAGCAACCCTTCTCCCCTTCACCAACCTCTTTGCAGAAACAAGCTGTGAAGAACTTGTACAAGTAAAGCGTTTGCTGAGCGAAACCGACTGTGTGTAATGGGAGTGGGCACCGAACGGACGCTGATTTTTTGCAAACATCTTTATTAATCTTGTATAAAAATAAGGTCCAAGGAGAGTCTTTGGGGGTGGGAGTTCATGGGGGAGGGCAAGGTGCACTTTATAAGTTACAGGCCAGGCTCCCGCTCAGGCTAAGTATGGCTATTGGGGGAGGGGTGCTGCAAGCAGCATTTGAGGATTGAGACCAGGTGACTCTGCCTCCAACAGGAGGAGGCTGTGCTGGCCCCTTTAAGGAGGGCCAAGGTGCCAGGCAGCAGGAGGAGGGGTTGCCCAGAGGCCCACCTTCCTTGAGGCCCAGCCTGCCTACAACCCCACCCCCTACAGAATCCACCTGCGGAAATAGGCTACAGCGAGAGGTCAGAGGTGACCTGCAGGGGAGGTCCTGGAGGGCGCCTACGACCACTGCGACGGCCTGTGTCTGCGCGGATGTAGGGCTGGTTCCGTAGATCTGGCAACCAAAGGAGATAGTTAGCCCTTCAGGAGTCTGCCCAGAGCTGGGACCAAGCTCCAGGATACACGCTCAGCCTTATGAGAACCCAGGTTGTGTATTTAGGGGAAGGGGCACTGTTTACATTTGCCAGACCTCCCATCTGCCCTGCAATACATTCCAGCCATGCACTAGCACAGGAGAGGGAAGAGTAACAATGCCCACAAGGGTCCCAGAGCTGTCAGCAGCGATGTGACAGGTACCTGGGGGCTAGAGGGGCATCTCCTCTCCCAGGCTGGCCTCACAGAGGAGCCGGGATGTCCGCTTGCCAGTGCGGGCAGTGAAGGGCACTGTCTTGAGCACTGAGGGTGAAGGGGTAGGGGGTAGAGAAAGGAAAAAGAAAAGAAAAACAGAAAAGGTAGCAAGAGGCAGTAAGGCAGCCAGACCCCTGGTTGGGGTCCAGACAAAGAACAGCTTAGAAGGACAGAACAGGTGCCTGGCCAAGCCCTCACCTGTGATAATGTCTTCAATGGCCCCATCACGGTCACTCTCATAGATGAGTGGCTCCTTCTGCTGCTTCCGTTTCAGCTCAGAGATGAGGTCCATCTGTTGTCGCCGGGCCTTGGGTGGAGACTGAAGGAGATGTATACATAGCTCCAATTCCAGGATCCCTCCACCCCACTCAATTCTAGTGCCTCACAGCAAGGACAGGTGACTGGAACAAAGGGAACCCACTCCCATCCCTGGCTCCTAGGGCACTGTCTTTGTAAAGGGTGTGTCCCTAACAATGGGGATGGGGATGGGGCCAGAGAGTGTGAGGATACCTTGCATCCCTGCATCCCACTACCAGGCTCAGCAGCAGCTGCATACCTTAGGTGCTGGGGGTTCCCCCCTGCCTGGGGTGTCGGCACCTGCCTCCTGGGCAGCTGCTTCCTTCTTCCATTGTTCCACCTCTTGCTCAGCTTTCTGAGGGTCGAAGGCAATTCTCAGTGAGGGCAATCCTTACTCCTACTCTGACCCACCCAAGAGAGAAGCAGCCTCTGCCCTTCCCACTGCCCATGCAGAAAGGCTTCAGGGCTCCCAGCCCACCCACCACACATACATACCTTGTAGGCCTTGATGAAACGGCTGAAGAGGGAAAAGAACATGGAGGGGGATGTGGTCTTGGGGTTTTCTCCGAAGTACTCCACCACAGACTCATAGGCCTCCTGTTGGCACAGCCCATCAGCCCTGTTAGCATGGGCTCCTCAGAGCCTGATGCTGCTCTGTACCTCCTCAGGACATTGGCCACTTCATCTGCTCCTCCAGGCAGGCGGCCCTTCACTTCTGCTTCATCCCCAAAGGGTCCCAGCTGTGGCCACACCCCTCCAGGCCTGGGCTATACACCCCCATCTAGTGATCCAATGGCAAGGACTCCTTCATTTCCCCAACCCAGCTTCCCTAGCTCCAGACCAGGCCAGCCCCAGCCCACCTGAGCAGTCTTGCTGTCTGCCAGTAGCTTGTCCATGGTGGGAGAGTTGGCCCTGAGGAACTCCTTAAGCACCAAGCAGTCATCCTGCCGCACAAACTCCCTCTGTGTCAACTCCAGGCCTCGCTGCAGGGAGCGCACATCCCCCAGGACACTGTCCAGCGACACTGGGTGGAAGGCGGGGCAGCGTGAACTCAAGGAATCTGAGTGGCAGCACTCCCACCCAGTTACATCTTGCAGTCCCCTTGCTTCCCAGTGGCCTCCGGACTGAACTGCCTGCCTGCTCAGGGCCCTGGCTGCTCTATACCTGAGCCTGCCTTGTCCACGAAGTGCAAGTCACTGTGGAAGCCTGTGAGCTGTGGGTACTTCTCAGCAATGACCTTCACCAGGTAGTGCAGCAGCGTCTGCTTTCGGTCAGTCGACTTCATCTCCAACAGCTGAGCAAAGACCTGTTGTAAGCCACAGGCCACCAGCCAGCCCCCAGCCCCCACGCCAGGCCCCCCCCACCTCACCACATCCAGACTCTGGAGCCGGAAACCATAGGCTGCCCCACGCTTGCTGCTGTTCATGTAGTTGCCAAAGGCCAGGACGATCTGGGAGAGGCAGGGGAAGAGACTCAACAGGGTACCAGGGCTGGGGAAGCCCCTTAAGTAAACATTACACAAGAGAAAAGGTGACGAAAAGTGAGCCTGCACACACACAGCCCTACCACACTTCTGAATGGAACTCTCTCTCCATGACACACGTACTTGTGTGTCTGCACGTCTCACATGTGTGCATGGTTAACCCATGAACATACCCAATTTTGCCCTCTGCTGGTCCAACCCAAAATTGGCAGCCACTTTCCCCTCCTAAGGGTTGTCACCCTTTTGGCAATCATTACTACTGGTCCCCTCCTGGGACGGTCCACTGCTGCTCACACAGCAATACCCAGAGGGGCTGACCCCTCTGGCAGGGTCTCAGATACCCTGTTAAAGACATGGCTGCTGTCACCAATCCTCACCCCGATCTAGTTTTGTCTTTCAAAGCATGTACATGAGAAGTGGGAACATTATCTTTGTTGTACACTACGTGGGCGGGGCCTTCTCACACTATTTAGAAGAGGCCAGGATGGGCCCAGCCTCTGGGCCCCTTGCCCTGGGCTCTCACCTCCAGGATCTGCCGGAGTTTGTCAGAGGACTTGATGGACATCGAGGCTGCAATGATGGCATTCAGTTGCTGGAGGTGAGACAGGGGAGGTAAGTTGGAGGCACCCTCATCAAGAGGCTCAGGTCCTCCCAGATGAAGCCTGGGCTGAGAGATGCCTCCCCCCACCCGAAGCCCAGGCCACACTGCCCTGCCCGCCCCGCCCACACCGGCATGAGCAGCTGGGCCGTATCCGGGAAGTTGCCCAGGAAGGTGAGTGTGGACATGCGCTCCGGCAGGCGTGGGATGCGGCTAAAGCGTAGCATGAAGCGGTCCTCTTCAGACAGCTCCTCCACGGGACGCTGCTCCCGCTCAAAGCGGGCAATGAGGCTGCGCTCATACTCCGTGGGCAGAAAGCGGGTCAAAAGCTCCAAGAAGTCCAGGCCGAGAGCCTGCAGGTCGTACCTGATGGGTGAGCAGAGGAGCCAGCCGTTTAAACCCCATATCCACCAGCCCAGAGAACAAGACTACATTCCCTCCTTTGGTTGAATAAATGAACTTAAATATTTACTATTTGCTGACAGCTTCAGAGAACAAGAAGTAGGAGTTTCGGGAAAATGGGAGTTTGGGAGCCCAGGTCCCCATCATTCATCAGTGGCAGATGCCCTACTATAAATCTCTCTGCCAAAGAGGCAAGAAGGGAGTGGGATGTCCCAATCTAGGCCTGGACTCAGTTTTCTTAACCCCTGAAAATGGAAATAAGGTTCCCTGTCCATGGTTCCAATGAAGTTTATAGGCTCTGTCCCCCAGCTGGGGCTCTTACTAGGCTCTGCCTGAAGATCCCAGCCTAGTAGAGGGGCTGAGCTGCCAAAAGCCCAGAGCAGGGCACTCACGTCTCAATAGCCTGGCAGATGCGGTCGGCCCCCAGATTGCCCTTGCGCAGAGTGATGGCCAGGTTTTTGGCCCGGTTGGCCTCGATGAGTGTTGCTTTACTGGGGGCCTTGTTAGCTGCCTTGCCCTTGAGAGCACTGATGTCCAGAGTGGGGCCTTGAGACTTAGTCTTGAACTGTTCCTCAAAGTCACTCATGTCCAGTTCCTAGGGTACAGGGGGAGAAGATGGGGCTGGGTGGGGCCAAGGTCTGGCACACTCCGGGTGAGCACTGTGTTCAATGATAGAACCACTGGTTCAGCCCTGATAGGCCATCAGCAGAGAGACAAAGCAGTAACCCAAATAGAACATAGGCCCTGATACAGGAGAAGCACAAGGAACACTGAGGAAGAAGAGAACCACCCAGCCTAGAAGACCCAGCCTTGAGCCATTAAGAAAGGAGTGAACTGGTCATCAGGGAAAAGGGAAGGGCAAAGGGAACAGAATGATCAATGGCTCAGAAGCAATGGAACACATCCCTTTTGGAAAACTGAAAGTGGAATCAAGAGGGCTAAGGTCCTGGTTGTGAGGAAGTGGTAGGAAAAGGGCCTGAAAGGAGAAGAAGCCAGACTGGGGGGAGGGATATGCCCCTCTATAGGAAAGGAGGGTAAAGACTCCAGAGAGGTCAGTATACCACTGCCTACTAGACCAATGCACCAAGGCAGTGTAGCTTAATGCTCTGCCCATCTCCACTTCTGTAAAACTGGGTGGAGATGACACCCCCATGATCCTGGCAAGCCCCCACCTCTTCGATGCCCACACTAGGAGCAAGACAGGTGCACTCACTTGTAGCACTTTCTCATCGTTGAGCTCTGTGAACACGGTGCCTGTAATCTGGCTGGGTTTCAGGGCCACCCAGTTCAAGAGTGGCATCCGGAACTTGGTCTGGATGGGTTTCTTGGCCTTCACTCCTGGGGCCGGGAGGGAGTGGTGAGCACTGGGGGCGCTAGAGGCAACCAGCCCAGCAAGGCCTGACAGGGCAGCAGGAGGCAGTAGGAAG